CCGAAAGTGGACCGCAGAAGGTGACCTCACTTTGGACCTCCACGGACACAGTCACATTGGAGACGGGTGATGAACCCTCAGCGGAGGAGACTTAGTCGCCAGTCTTGGATGCCGCCGACGTGTTGAGTGTGCAGGTACTTCCGTTGCTCTAGTACCTCGACCGGAAGCGAGAGAAGTACGCAGAGGGCAGCCCCAATGAGTCTTATGTGAAGATAGTGCGCAACCGAACGCGAATTAAGGTGGAGTTGGCGGTTGAGTTCGCCACTAAGGAACGAAGGAGTCAGCCGACGGAAGCAAAGTACCAAGCACTTCAGAGGAAGTTGTCTGAGGAAGATGAGAAGCGACGGAAGGCGGAGCAAGTCGGTGACAGTCTTCGTGAAGATCTGGAGAGAGCCAAGTGCGCCAGCGTGGATCTCCTGAAGAGGCTAGAAGCTTGTAGGACCGCGTACGATGCTCAACCATTAAAGGTGGATGAGTTGCAGGCTGCCGCGGAGGAGAAGAAGCAGGAGTACCAATCCGAGTTGGCGGTGAGGGCGAAGAAGCTAACCGAGTATGAAGTTGCACGGATCACGGATTTAGAGTTGATCGAGAAGTAAGAGGCGCAGTGTGGCGAATTGAAGATGCAACGGTCGCAAGCTGAGGAGCAGTTATGTGAGGTGGAAGCAAAATTGACGAAGGCCGTTATCAGAAGAGACGCGTGAAGCCTTAACCGCAAAAGTGGAGCGATGTTTATGCGGATACGTGTTGTGGCAAATCGAATCTCACAACGGGCTTCGGTTACGCGAGATTGAGCACCGTGCAGCCGAGTTGATAGCGAGAAGCAAAAGAAAGCATCGTCGGTTATCCAAGAAGCTGGAGTCGTATCTTACTAGATCGCGGGACGTGGTAGCAAATCTAGAGGTAGAATTAGTAAACGTTTTGAAAAGATTAGGTTTAAAGCGGAGGTTAGAGGGAGCGGCAACTGCCAACTCCGGAGGCAAAGGACCTGTTCGCGGCTCGCATCGCAGCAGATGACAGTTTTTGGTAGTTAGGAATAAAGTAGTCCAAGGTGTTGGCCTTGGGGTTCTTTTCTCAATTTAGTTTCTCAGTGTGGACTTATGTATTCTCTGCGCGTCTTGTAAGTTGAGAGTGTTGTTCACCGCGTAAGAATGACTTCGGTTTGACGAAGGTACCGCATCCGAAGTAGGAGCTCCAATTCGAATGTTTTGAAATTGTGTTTGGCTAGTGACAGGATTTAAGCAAATTCGTAATTGGCCGCTAGCTACAAGTGTACTTCTTGGGAAATTCCCCCCCCCCCCCCCCCCCTCCCCCCAATCTTAAGTTGATGTCATGATCGTACTCTAAATTTTGTATTTACTTGTTTCAGGTGTGTGTGTCTTACTTTGCATTGCGTGTTCTTCGAGTGACCTCCGAGTCGAACACCTGTAATAATTCTGAAAGTGATAGTAGCCTGAGAATTCAAACTACTCAATAGACTGTTAAATATGTGACAATCGGTACTCTTTGTGTTGTTTCTGTACTCCTGGGGATCGGATTTTTACCATTATACTCCATTTTGGTATTTATCTGTCATTACATAAATCATTCATTCAACCTGAACTCATACAAAATCGTCCCTCAATACTGTTTGGTATCAAACTCTTAGAAAATAGTAGAAGGACATTTTACAGAGTAAGAGTAATCCACCGTCCGAACAAGGATAACACTAGATTTCTATTTGAAGAGTATATGAATCATATCTATACATCTCTAGTATTATATGTGGCGTGAATCAAAAGACATGCAGTTTGGTGAATGTAATCTATCTGAATTTTGTTATCACTCTAGTTTCTCTATTCCATTAAAGCTTAAGTGAGATCTACTTTAGAACCATCTTTGTACAAGGAAAAGTAATATAAAAAAATTTTTACCACTCTTTTTGCTTACTATGTAGGAGACAAGTTCAAACTAAAAAGGCAATTATCTTTTGTTTTTACTTTTTGTTATTAACCGGTTCCCTCTGCCTTATTTTCTCTAGAGATATCTTCACATCTATGTCAGGTTCGGTTCAAACAAAAGAGTATTGTCAACGTGGCATCTTCTTTGTCATATCGTAAAGATATATTCGATATTTCATGAACATTTTAAAACTTGAACATTATTAATCTAAATAGATACAAAATTCAGGAAACTAATTTTCTAATTATCACCTAACTTAGAAATTTCGGTTCTAAATCTTGTAGGGATGGACAGTGAGACTAAATTGAAAAAAGTATCATTGTAAGAATAATAATCGTTATCTCTATCACAATACCATAAAATGTATTCAAATCATGCATATATTCTCATTCCACTGACGTATTTCTTTTCTAATTCAATATACATTTTTCTTAATTCTTTTACCGCCTTATGTTTTTAAATTAAATACATGCACGGAAAGACTCTAAATCATAATGTTGAATTGAGTTATTTGAAATTTCTATAATATTAAAAATCTAACATTTTAACTGTATAATGACTAAGTTTTGGACCCAAAGAAACAAAAATCATTATAAAACACCAATTTCATATCAAAGGGAAAAAAAAAATCTCATGTATCGTGATATTATTTTACAAGTAAACACTATTGTACCCGACTGTATAATACACATCTTGTAATTTATCAAATTTCAATTGTGTTATAACACAATTGAAACGATACATGGTCATATAACAATTACATGGTCACCACTTTCTCGGTTTCAGTGAAGAACGATGTATGGCGACACTTAGCTTTCACTTTAAGTACAGCAAGAATCTTCCGGAGCCTTCGAGGACGCAGCGTGTGGAGTTGGCTATCGAGTGTTCCGACCTGCGGGAAGAAGTTCGCAGGCTTCTTCCTGCGCCTCCTCATTGTCTGACTTCGAATCCACCATTGACGTCATTGCCCGTAGATGCGACAACAAAACGGACACGCTTGCTTTTAAACTTCATCATGAGTACATTGCGCAACTGCCTTTACGCTGTACTGTACCCACACAGCCGTTTGAAACGACTCCTACCGTATTTCTTCGATAAAAGCTTCCATATCTTATTTTTCAAAACTTCATTGCTGACAATACAAACATATAGTTCCTTGGGATACAACTAATAGTAGTCGCAGTAGTAAACATTTGCGTTTCTTCGTAATTTCATTTATTCCTTGTTATCGAGTTTAACAACAAAATTGGAAGAATTTCAGATCACAGACTAAAATTTCATGGGTCCTTGGTTGGCAGAGAAAATATACTGATGGTTACTGGTGATATTTTTTCTCGAGAAAAAGATGGAAGCGAATAGGGTGAGAATATCTATCCTTCACGGTATTATGTTTTATGTCTGTGTTGAAGGAAAACATGCCATTGGACAGTAAGTTCTAACAAAAGTTGGAAGGCTCTCCAAACAATAAGGTCTTTAATAGATATCTAACGTATCCTCAAATATCATAGTTGGTATGTTCCATCGTGCCTCAAGTACTTTAACTTGAATGATCACACCAACGAATCAACGCTAGTACTGTAGGTATTGCAACAGAGAGAAAATATACTGTACTTTGTTGTTTACGTAGCTTCATCTTCTTTGACCATGTCGGCTGTGGCGATTCACGGAAGATTCACGAATAAAATTGATGGCAAGAACCGAACGTGCCAGAACTTACTTTATCACTTTTCCAATATAGAAGAATAAAAGAAATATAGCCAACAAAGCAAAAGAACGAAAAAGATCTTTGCGAACGAAGGGTCTGGAGACGCTGAGTGGTCGCAGCAACCTTTGAGCCATCGGTCAGCCGTAGACGGCACAGTCGGTCTTCTCACTTCCGGTACAAGCAACTCATCATGCCCGAACGGCTATCCATCTCTGACCGTCTGACGTCTGTCCCGTTTACAACATCGGGACGACGGGAGACCCCGTCGGGAGTTCCTCTTTTGTCGTATATGTGGAACCTTTGGTAAAGTTTAAGCTCCTTTAACTGAAAAGTCGATTGATCTCCTGTAACAGCCACGTGGCAACCGGCTACTGTAATCTGCATTGTCGAAAAAAGGACGAAGACATTGATTTTTGAGGAAAGTTTAAAATGATATAGAGTTGATCGAGAGATTCATGCCCGTTTTGAAACAGTGAGTAAGATATTAAGAATTATAATTTGTTATCTACTTGTTGCCACGTTGGTGACACGCTGTACCAGTACAGGTGCCGGTTGAATACTATTTTAGCATGGGACGTACTTTTGACAGACCGTCGCTTGATTTTGGTCCACATTCAATCAACTACATCTGAGTTTGCTTCATTAGCAGTGGCCGGTAGCGCCACCGGCCACCAATTTCAATGTTTCAACTAAGTCTCGTTCGGGGTTGTCTAAATTATCTAGAGTTTCGAGCTAAATCTACAGCGGGAATAAGTCACGACAGTTTAGAATAAGAGTCACTACAATTAGTAGAGCGTTTAGGGTCTAGATTACTTGTATTTGAGCTACAATATTGTTTTTTTGGCGTCATTGTCTGCATCAAACGTGACACTCAGAGACGTGGATGAGGTTGTATCATTTTTCCCTTTGTTGTAAGTTTATAAGTTGTTTTTTCGCGGGCATATATTGCATCAGCCCGCTTAGAGTCAGATTATGATTAGATCCCAAATATATTATGTGAAATAAATTGATCCAAAAAAGTGTTTGTAAACCTACATCTTAGAAAAAAAAATTATACATGTTTTGTCATCCAACTAATAGATCCACTTTTTCACCAATTATAAGGAAAAAGGCGCAAGTAAAATTATCCATTTCAAGACGCAAAGCAAATAAACCGTTCACTTCCGCTTCTGCACATATACCATAACATGACTTGCTAGTGGGCTTGGCGTGAAGCAAATACTTGCTACTATAGTCGGGCTTAGGAACAGCAGAGTATGAATCTGGAATAAACCCACGGGGGAGCCCTAAAACCTTTGATTTAGAGAACTTAGGAAGTTCCCAGCTGTAGACTTGCGTAGTGCGACTTCTGGCCATGCCTACTGTAACCTCCTTGTACCGTTCACGTTCGACCATTTCTCATGATCACATGAAAAAAATGAGCAAATGATAATACATAAAATTGTATCGCTGGTTTATTAAGGAGAGTCAACTACTGTGCGCTGGAGCGGAGCATCATACGGCGGAGTCGTAGGCAGTTACTGAACCGGAGCTCGTGGTGACGCTCTTCGTGGTTACTTGAGAAGTTTAACCCATCGTCATCCGGTTGCAGTAACTCACAAGTGGTCTGTCGGCAGCGGTGACTCACGGCAAGGTCCAGGCGGGAGTCATGATTATCTGCATGTGGTGACGGCATGAGCTGTCAGCAGCTCGAGGACCCGAAGAGCTATAAAGAACACCCGCTGGTCCTCATCTCCTCATCTCCTCATTCTGGTCTGCTTCTTCTTTACCTCACAGCTTCATCTTTCTTTGCTCGTTAAAAGTCTATCTTTCACGTTCCTTTCTTCATTCGTTTCTACACTTTCTTCTTCGTCCGTTTGTTATTCTGTAGTGTTCAGGAGGTGCACAACAATTCCACTTGGGGCCCGGTGCGCTCCGCCAAGATGCAGATCTTTGTGAAGACATTGACGGGGAAGACCATCACTCTTGAGGTCGAAAGCTCCGATACGATCGACAATGTTAAGACCAAGATTCAGGACAAGGAGGGTATTCCTCCCGACCAGCAGAGGCTGATTTTCGCCGGCAAGCAACTCGAGGATGGGAGGACATTGGCTGATTATAACATCCAAAAGGAGTCTACATTGCACTTGGTCTTGAGACTGAGGGGTGGTATGCAGATCTTCGTCAAGACTTTGACGGGTAAGACAATTACCCTCGAGGTGGAGAGCTCTGACACCATCGACAATGTAAAGACTAAAATTCAAGATAAGGAGGGTATTCCCCCAGACCAGCAGCGTCTGATCTTTGCCGGCAAGCAGCTTGAGGATGGAAGGACGCTGGCTGATTACAACATCCAAAAGGAGTCCACCCTTCACCTGGTTCTGAGACTGAGAGGAGGTATGCAAATCTTCGTCAAGACGTTGACAGGAAAGACCATTACTCTCGAGGTTGAGAGTTCCGACACCATCGATAATGTGAAGACTAAGATCCAAGATAAGGAGGGTATTCCCCCAGACCAGCAGCGTTTGATCTTCGCAGGTAAACAGCTTGAGGACGGTAGAACTCTGGCCGACTACAACATTCAAAAGGAGTCTACCCTCCACCTCGTGTTGAGGTTGAGAGGTGGTATGCAGATCTTCGTGAAGACATTGACTGGCAAGACCATCACCTTGGAGGTGGAGAGTTCCGACACCATCGACAATGTGAAGACCAAAATCCAAGACAAGGAGGGTATCCCTCCAGACCAGCAGCGACTAATCTTCGCAGGCAAGCAGCTTGAGGACGGGAGGACCCTTGCCGACTACAACATCCAAAAGGAGTCCACCCTTCATCTCGTACTGAGGCTGAGAGGAGGTATGCAGATTTTCGTGAAGACTCTGACAGGCAAGACTATAACCTTGGAGGTGGAGAGTTCTGACACTATCGACAATGTGAAGACTAAAATCCAAGATAAGGAGGGTATTCCTCCAGATCAGCAGCGATTGATCTTCGCCGGCAAGCAGCTCGAAGATGGAAGGACCCTGGCCGACTACAACATCCAAAAGGAGTCTACCCTTCACCTCGTCCTGAGGTTGAGAGGTGGTATGCAGATTTTCGTGAAGACTCTGACAGGCAAGACCATCACCTTGGAGGTGGAGAGTTCCGACACCATCGACAATGTGAAGACCAAAATTCAAGACAAGGAAGGCATTCCCCCAGACCAGCAGCGATTGATCTTCGCTGGGAAACAGCTCGAAGATGGCAGGACTTTGGCCGACTATAACATCCAAAAGGAGTCTACTCTTCATCTTGTGTTGCGGTTGAGAGGTGGTATGCAGATCTTTGTCAAGACATTGACTGGAAAAACCATCACTTTGGAGGTTGAAAGCTCAGATACCATCGACAACGTGAAGACAAAGATCCAGGATAAGGAGGGTATTCCTCCCGACCAGCAGCGATTGATCTTTGCCGGTAAGCAGCTCGAGGATGGTCGTACCTTGGCAGACTATAATATTCAAAAGGAATCTACCTTGCATCTTGTGCTACGATTGAGGGGAGGTATGCAGATCTTCGTGAAGACCTTGACCGGGAAGACTATCACTCTCGAGGTCGAAAGCTCTGACACCATCGACAATGTCAAAACCAAGATCCAGGACAAAGAAGGAATTCCTCCCGATCAGCAGAGATTGATCTTTGCAGGAAAGCAGCTGGAAGATGGACGAACCCTGGCGGATTACAATATCCAAAAAGAATCAACTCTGCATCTTGTTCTGAGGCTGCGAGGTGGTCTGTAAATCGTGTCATCACGCGAAAGACAGGGAAGATCATTACCAACGAAGAATTTGAGCACGAACCCTGAACATCTGGGCAAGGTCTGAACGAAGATTGAAAATTAGCTTATCAGCAACAATCTTTACCTCTGCCGGTAAGCAGCTTGAAATCTAGTTCATGTAGCATCGATGCCTTCTTCTATCTGGTGGCAATTAGAGTTGACCATCTCAACACGTTCTTATTTGTACAGCATTTTAGAGTAAATCCTTCAACCTATTCATTATTTTACAGTAGGGAGTATTGAGGTGAGAAGGTATATATACCTCATTTAATCATGTCAAGAACGTACGATTATTATTGAGACTACGTTGTACTGGACGTTGTAAGTATAAGTAAAACAGAAAGTAGTAAAGTTTATTCCACCCTTAAACTGGTTGTGTGTGGAAATGGGCGTAACGGATTGGTATGAACGTGTGACGAAATTTGTGTGGTATATGTGGGAAAGATAATGAACGTAGACATTTCCGTACAGCAAGTGAATAAGTATGGTAGAATGTACAGTCTAAAAATGTCGTTGAAGTTTGAAGATGTAGTATCTTCACAAATGGAAGTGAACATAATCATATACGTGCAGAAAGTGAAAAGTTACGATAGAAATTATGTTGTGAAAATTGTGAACTATATTTAGTACTCATCACACAAAAGACTCAATCTTCCGCTTGCTACACAAAATTAAGGAAAGAAAGTTCAAGCTTTATTCTGGAGAAGAGGAGAGAAAACATGTAATTTATCCATCGCCAACTCAAAAATGAAAAGCACAAACGCGGAAAGATCAGAGAAAAAAAAACTGTTAACCTTTGCTCTCAAGTACCCATAATAGCGAGGACAAAAACTACATCAACAATAAACACTATTCATATCCATAAGTTCTTTCCGAAAGTAGAGTAGACAAGTTTAAGAGTAAAAGATGCATACAGTGACATAATATGTATTATATGAATACCTCACCTACGCTCTATCTTTATACATATTGTCCACATACTGATATCAAATATTAAACGAGAGTGTATGACAGTATCTATGAGTAAACAAGATATTAATATAAAACTTACATAATTCAAAACTCAACCTATGCTACATTGTTTTAAAAAGCACAATGAAATTATGAAGTGAAAATTCATATGATTTGAAATCTTACTATTCGACATATAAGTTATAATTATGCATTTTTAACGAGAGCTATTTACTTTCCTTATTAACTAGAATAAGTTTTATAAGAAGTTGAGTTTATGAGAAAGTTATATCTAATGTATATGTTTATACAAATGGTTGTATAAACAAAATGTGAACCACTCTAACTATCACAATAAATGTTTATGAATTCTTGTTTCAATTTCAACTCAATGATAAATACATTCAATCATAAAGTGTTATTGTTGGCATTATATATTCAATTTAACTTGGTGATTGAGTTATGCATTTATGCAAAAGATATACTCAACTCATGTATTCATCATTAAGCGTAGACAAATATCTAGTTCTAGATACTATCTAGCCCAGATCTTGTTCATAGTAAAATCAATCATAGCATAGCAAAAATTTAGCAATATCTAATTAGTCATCAAACAAATAATCACAATACTCAGTATTTTTTATTTACTTAAGAATGCACTGCAATGTTTTAAGAATCATCTTGTCACTTTTTGGGATTTAACGTATATTTGCTCAGCTTGCACATAGTTAGAGAAAAATATCATGGGTACTGTGAATCATGAAAAAATTAAGATTGAGCTCTATTTTATCATATGATTGTGATGAGAACTTTTTCTTTTTGATGACATCAACTAGATATTATGTTACAAATTACTTGAAGTATCATGACAAAAGAGTTGAAAATAATTTAAAATTTGTCATCTTAATTTTTTTAACCACATGTAATTGCAATTGTATTGACTTATTCATAGCTTTTTCTTTTTCAAAATCCTATAAACATCTATTACTAATAGACTTTTTGATTTATGTGAATTTTTCATCTTGAATGCAAACTTGAGTGGATTTTTAAGATGAATTAATCATACATGAATCTTACTAGAATAAAAAAATAAAAATCTTATTTTTTTCATGTATGTACATAAAGTACACATTTTGTGAAAAAAATTGTGATTTCATGAACTCTCTCAAACCTTGTATTTTAGTGTCTATAGGGTTATTTCAATTCATAGTATGATTACAACAATCTAAAATCAATTTTTTTGATTTTTTTTTTCAAAATCAATAGATTCACTACTTAAGAAGATTCGTAGAATAATGATGTAACTGAATCTATTTGATTAAGTTACATTAATATTCTATGAATCAATTTGATTCACAAGAAACTTAAATATTGTAGTAAGTGCATATAGCAAAAAGATTGTAGTATATTTGGCTACAAATGAAAGAAATTGTTGTTATTCAAACTATTATTTTCTATGAAATTTTTCCTATCAATCTTGACTTGAATTGTTTCTTTTGTCATGTTTTATTGTACTTCAGTTTATACATTCATTTGTTATCAATCTAAGACTGATTCTTTGCAAGCTGCATTCAATCTATTATTAATCAAAGATTGCATTGACATCATTTTATTTTATCTGATATTTCATTACTCCCTAAGTATCTTCAAAATTGACTGAATACATATTATATATCTTGTAACAGCTCTATTATTTCAAATTGATGATCCTTTAATATAATAATTTGATTTCATGTTATTTTTTGATTAAAGATTTAATTTTAATCCTTAATAAATTGCTATTTCAATTTTTGCTCTCGTATATTTTGAAAATCTTACTTTTCTACAATGATTTTGCTCATAAAACATGTACATCAATAATAACTTGGAAGATATTTATTACAATTTTAGACTATAGTATTCATAACCTAGATTATTTAAATAAAAATTATTTTTGGAAATAGTTATCATCTTGGTCATTTTTGGAAAGAGTAAGTCTTAGAAAAATAAAATTTCAAATGATCATGATGAATTGACTTCAGGTGATTCGGTTCCATTGATAAAAAAAACTTGATTGCAATAGACAGATTATAGATTTATTAAGTACACGGTTGTATTGATAACATGAGGAAAAAATTTAATGGTATATTAGATTGTCTCAACATACTAGACATCTTTTTCAACACTAATGAAAAGAATGTTTTATTCTCAAACATAAATTGTAATTAAATCACAAATCATTTTTTACGTTTTTCTATAATATTTAACCTCCTTAAAAATGTATTTTGTAATAATAAGTACATAGATATTTCACATTATGTCCAGTTTATGTTTCAATTCAAACTCTCCAAATTCCAAATTTTATAAAGACCTCATAATTTTGTTTGAGATAATAAACCACACAAATTTTAAGTATCATCAATAATTAATGCAATGTATGACTTTATAGTTAATGAGTTTTTTTGATAAATTATTTCAAACGTTACTATATACATATTCAATTAATTCTGTGAAATTTATGAATTTTAACATCAAAATCAATTTTTAATGATTTTCTATAACACATTGCTACAAACTCTAAATCAAGATCACATATGTTAAATAATATGATTATATTCTTCAAGACTATCAAGTATCTATTACTCATATGTCTGTGACTATAATGTTATACATGAGTTATCTTAATCAAAGATTTAGTAAATAGTAATTATTGTTTCTTAGCATGTAAAGAATGTTATGCTTGTGTTATCTAACACAATCTTAGTACATATTTTCATTTTGAGTAAATTTTTTTGAACTTCACTCAAAGATATAATTTATTCTCATGTAAAATTTTAATCTGACTTGAATCAATTTGAATGTATAATTTCATCAAATATTCAAATATAAAGGTATACTTATGGCTCCAAGTTTACAACATTGATTTTCATAACATAATCAATGTTTGATGTAATAAATGTGATAAAAAATACTATCAAGAATACATACATTAACATTATCTTTTGATGAATTGCATAAAAAATACATTTTGCTTCAGAATTTATTATAAAGCAAATAATTCTCATCAATATCAAACTTTTGAAACACATTGGATAAAAAATTATCATCAATTTAGAAATTTACACACATTAAATCAGTATAATAGAACATAACACATAAAAATCAATCTTCAAAGCAATCATATACTTTGGGTTTTTTTTACACAAAATTTCTGCATTTTTTATTCATAATTTCATACATTGATTTGTGCTATTCTTTGTATCAAATCTAATGTTTTTTTATTTTTTTAATGTAAAAAAAAATTGATTTCACAGACCATTATATTTAGAATGTAATGTATGCGCAATGCCAAACTAAAACAATTATTTTATCATCATCTATGACATGATGTTACAATAGGTTATATGTTGATATCATAACACAAATATATCATAAATCTAAGTGCAAATTCATGCACATTTGATGTACAATTTATTATATTAATAATCTCAATAAAAAATAATTTGAAAATTTGCTAATGCTTCTTTTTTTATTGAGTCGATAATAATATTTGTAGTAAATGTTCAAGCATTGCTATCACTTATTGATTTCAATTGATGAAGATCTATTTTTGAAGATGACAACAAATAACAGTTGCATAATAAATAACAGTCTTATTACTTGAATTGTGAACTTAATAAATTTTGTAATATATTGATATTATTTTTTATTTTATTTATCAAAGATAAAAAAATTTAAACATCACTTGACAGAACAAGAAATTTGCTATCAATAAATATTCTTCATGCATTTGCATACATGAATCAAAATCAAAAACATTAATCAAAATAAAATATGTAATACGGAATTAATTGACAATTATTTGTTTATAATAGTCACATCATTGTTTGATTGTTAACAATTTGAATGAGCTAGTTGAGAGTCACATGTTTGCAATCTATGTGCTTATTAGTAATATATTTCATATCATTGATTGAAGAGTATTGGAATACATGATGAGGTGAAATTTTATAATTTTTATCTTAAAATTTAAAACTATATATTTCATTGTAGAAACAACTCTAAAATTGATTTTGTTGATTTTACTTATGATTAAATTTATATAATTATGATTTTATTTAATTATAAATCTTTCACTTGTCAAAATAAAATAATTTGTTTAAGTTGTGTGTGAGCACTAAATATTTGTTTATCAAAATTATCTACATTATGAATATTTTGATTAGATGTTATCATTGATTTATTTGAATAAATAAAAACATTTGATAATATAAACTTAATGTTAATTTGAATTTGTGTGAATCTAGGTATAAATATCATGGTGTTTTTTAAAAAAAATTACAAATTTATAATCTAGAATATTTAGATAGATAAATAACATGTTTTCATGGAATCTAGTATATATGTATTAATAATCATTATCAAGATGAATCTGAAAAAATACAAACTATATGATAATTAGAATTAATAATTTTACAACGAATTTTAATTTATTATCACTTATAAGATTATTTATAAATTAATCATTTTCCACTCAAGTTTATAGAGAATTTTGTGTGAGATAAATCATCATACAAAATCTATTTTTCAACTAATTTGAAATATTAAACTATGCTTATTTGATTCATTAATAAAGATTTATTTTATAAAAAAACATATTGTATTGTTCAAAAAGAATTCATATTGAATGATGAGTGAATAGATTAGATGAAAGTTAATGTAGTTGCGGCCACATAAAAATAAATTTCATACTTATGAATCTAAAATGAGATCCATTTGAGGTAAACTCTAATGAGAGTCACAGCAGAAATCAAAATATCTCTTGAATAAATATACTTCAAGGAATTTTTTTCCTAATAATATCATTTTCAGAGTTTCATGATTGAATTATTATTTTTTACGAATTTCATTGTGTCTTAGAAAAATAATTGCAGTTTCCAAAATTAACGATAAATTTATTCACATAGGATTTTTAATCAAATTGATCATTTGAAATTTCTTCACATTAATTCAGACACGTAAAATCTTAATGAAGGTATTATAATACAATTTTTTCATTTATTATCCTTTAAAATATTCAATAAATGTCACAATGGATTCATGTATCATTAATTGAGACAGACAAGACATGATATAACACAAGAGGAAAAGAGAAATTACTCCAAGATGATATTCAACTTCTAAATAATGAAGTATCAATAAAGAATATATTTTATATCTTCGATAAAGGTTGTTGTGCATTTTGAAAATATCCCGTGACATAGCTAATATTGCATATGGATATACATAAATTAACTAGCAATTAGTTTTTTCTATGTATAATTGCATATATCTTGTTTTGACTAAGGCGTATATCTAATTATCTCTAATTTACATAAAAATTTATGTCAAGTTTCTATTTAGAAATTTTCAGTAGATAATAAATTTACTACATCAAGACATAAATCACACTGGAGATTGATAGTAATCAAATGAAATCCTAGTTAGCTCTTATCAGGTTGGTTTGACTTTAACATCTGACTCTAGACAAGAGAATAAGTAGTATGTCTGTATGACAATAGGTTATCAGTAAGAAAAAATAAATTTGGTCATCTATGTAATCTCATTAAGAGTATCGATGCTTTTTTGTCACCTTGTGTTGTGCATGCATCCAGCATAAGATATTACTTCAACATTTTGAATCGTTGACTAAAAGTGGTTGAAACTAAAGTAAAATGGTTCATGAAGCAAGAAATTACATATTTTCAAAGTAATCTCTCTCACAATCTTGATACAATAAGATCTTGGTGAAAATAGAGAGTAAAAATGTCATCAATATTGAAATAAGAATTGAAAAAATTTGCTATTTTAATTTTGTTGGTTTATGATAGTTGATATGTTGTAATATGATATGTATCATGATATTGTTATATAACCAATTAAAAATACACACAAACTTGTTGGATGTGATGATGTTATATGTTGTCGGTGTTCAACTACTTTTTTAAAAAGTTTGTCTTTGACCTACAAATCAAAATAAAAGTCATTTTTCTTACAGTAAGTGTTTTTGAATAATTTTTTTTCCTATCTTATATATTGCTTTAATACTTAAAAAATATCCATATTATATTACCTTTGAAGTTTTTAGTATTTATACATTATAAGTACTTGACTTTGGCAACATCATCTCTATTCAGTTTGCACTGGGAGTATCATTAGGTCTACTTTTTGCCATCAAATTTCTAGAGCTTGAGTCAAGGGTGTTGTAAACGAGATCTTAGATAAGTTTTAATGTCAAATCTTAATGGATCATGGAGTAGCCTAGTTTCTTTGAAACGCCCAGTGTATAGTATCTCTTTTCTAATATGATTTACAAGCTATTTATGAAGATCGAAAATGATTCATTTGCAAATGGTGTGATAGGATAGGTACATGCAACATCAACTTACCTTGCTAGATCTGAATGAGAATGAATAGTTCGGAATCTGATGGTCCAGTACTTCCTAAGTGTCACCAGCCGAAGCAACCAAAAAAGTCAGCAAAACCGTCCTCGTGGATGTAAAGTACCCAAGTTGCCCTCATCTGGTTGCGGCTTCAATCTTCGCCATGTAAAATCCGCTCCTTCTTTTCCCCCACCATTTCATAATTTCCAAATCTGCACAGGCATGTTCGCTTAATCGCCTAAAATTCAACCTTCATGAGCAAGAGCGGGAGTAAGAGCTAAACCCCTCCACATATTTCCCCTTTCATCATAGAGCACCCGCATCCACCTACTTCCGTTCGAGGATAGAGGTTGCAAAGACCGAAGACTCTCTCTCTGTGTCTCTGTCTGCTGGGCAGAGTTCATCAGGCAAAAGTCTGTCAGCAGCCAACGGCTGGAGGCCAGGGTATCCGTGCCACCTCTGAGAACAATTGGCGAATTACCGGGAGAAAGAAATTTTGCCTCCGAGGGACGGGAGGGGAAGGGAAGGGAAGGAATTTAGAAGGATGCGTGTCGAAAGGAAGTGAGAAAGATCTACCGCATCGCCTGCCGCTGCGTACAGCGGGGATCTGCGAAGTGTGTAGTGTATCGTACAATCCATGGAGGTCGGATTGATGATTCGTCGCTGTCCTTGAAGCCTGAACTGGTTCTGTCGGACCGCTTCGGCGCGGACGAGAGAGCTCGGGGAGCGGTGTTTTCGAACGATCGCAGAGTCAGTTGCTTCTGCCTCTCTCGATTTGGTTTTGTGCTATTTTCAGCGGCTTGAATTGTTGATTGGCTCGTCAAGGTTTGGGGCTGGAGATATTGATGCCTGTAAATATGTGCCTCTCGGGGGTTTCGGTTTAATTTAAGGTCGAGCCGTACGTCGGTGGTTCCTGTCAAATGGATGTTACAGCTGGGGTGACGTCGTGGTCCCGTGTTTCTGAGTCACATGCGCGAGTAAAGGTGCAGTTCCATGCTCAATTTTGCGAAAATTGGAGCTAGCTAGCTACACATGCAGGCAAGGGAGAAATACCGAACTGCCGCCGCCGCTGCAGCAGCGTCGTAGGGGATAGGTGGTTGGTCGTGTGGACTTCTCTGTCAGAGACGTTTCCTTCTGTGAAAGCGCAGTCTCCATGGACCTTGACAGGCTCGAAAGCAACTTGTATGGTAATCACAGCTCGTTGACCGTCTGTTTGCTTCGAGAATCTGTCACGTCACTCTCCGTCAGTCCTATCACCGGAGCCCAGCCGATTCGACATGCGATCATCCCTCTAGAAGCCTTCCCGATTCCTGTTCCTCCGCTCTGTTTCTCTTGCCTTCCCTCCCTCTGCTCGCCTCAAGCATGCTGCCGGTTTCTCGGCGAGGTGAGAGGAGTCCAATTAGGTGCGTGGTGGAGCAGCTCGGCTGGTCCGAGAGTGTGAATTGATTGCAGTAGGAGCTAAAGAGCGTCAATTTCTTGGCCGTGGAGGGAGAAGGAAGGAAGGAAGGAAGAAAATCCTGGACTCTTGATTGATTCCGTTTTGTGAAGCTAGCGCGGAAGATTTTCCGCGTGTTGGGGTTGTTGGGAGAGCAAGAAGTCGGTCCCTGGTGCCAAGCAATCCTTTGATTTCTGTTCTGCACTCTGATGAATCATTCTTGCGTGAAGCTGTCTTCAATCTTGTGCAGAAGGATGGAAAGTCCTGCGTCCTCACTTCGTCACCCGAGCTGGTCTATCCGCTCCTAGCTATTGAGAGGGCGATCTCCTCTAGGTCGGAGCTGTGGCTCTTCTAAAGACCCCACTCTTACTCCCTGGTCTCCAATTCTAGCAGCGCATGCAGGCAGGAAAAGCTCGCGAGCTGCTTCGCAGTCGCAAAAATTCCCGGTCGAGACCGAGGCACATGGGAGACGACAATCCGGTCGACATCCAGAGCATAGAGTGCCGTCAAATCGAGAGATTTAGGGAAATCAGAAACTCTCAAATTCGTCGGTGGAACTGGTGTCTCGAGGAAGAGAAATTCCTCGTGACTCGGTAGACGTCTGCAGGCACCGGGGGTCAGAGCAGGCGGGGGCAAAGACGACTCCAAGTCGTGCAACTGCACGGCGCCTCTGACTCGGTTGGCCCTCGCAGTCCAGCTCTCGACCGCCGGAGCTGGTGTTACGTGGTCCCCGTGGCCCAATTAGTGTGATCGCGCCTCTGGAAGGCGTGTCTCCGGAACGGAGGGAAGTCCCTCGGCTCGAGCGGTTTGTAACGCTTCGCAGCTTGATTGCACGTGTCGTGCTGGGCGTATCCCAATTAGGCACAGGCTCTGCCGAGTTTCCGACATGTGTCCCCGCAGAGGCACCGCGGGATGGCCTCGCGGTGTGCCCCCCTGCGGAATGTCTCGTCTTCGAGCAAGAGAAAGCGAATCGTTTGGGATTTCCGGGGGCAGCAATCGCGAATTGCAGCGCTATATTTTCTCTCTTCTTCCGGTCAAGCGAAGAGACCTCCGGAAAATTCCGGGCGGTGCAATCCGAAGGGCACGAGGGCGTGACTTGAGTTGCACTGCGCGTTGCCACGGCCCACAATTGGGCAGCTTTTGCTGAGGACGAGTCTTTCTGAAGAAGGTCGGTCTCAGAAATTCTAACTGGACGGGATTCGGGCTTTCCCTGGAGGCCGTCTGTTTTTTCTCGCGAATGTTTCTCTTCGCGTAGTGCTGACCGTCCGACAAACTGTCAGGACGATTCTGGGCGATGGGTTTAAAGAACGTTGAGTGAGGCTTTTCTCCTGGATGTTGTACGAGGGTTTTCCTACTTGCATTGGTGCCAAAATGTGCTGGATCAAGTGTGCTATATCAAGGTGGTCGTCATCTCGTAGATTTGGATTTAAAACACTAGAATGGGATGGTAGGATTGAGGAGGTTTTGGAGATTTTACGTTTCGAATGCAGCTTTCAGTGAACTTGGCGATGCGTGAACGTGCGTCACTGTTGGCCGTCGGTTCTTGGAATGCTCTCGTTTCGTTTAACAGCATCTGAATGTTTCTATTTGAAAGCGAATTGCAGGTGCTCGTTTCTGCACTCGCCTGTTTCTCAGCCTGCACAAGACATGATTCCGCAGAACGAGAACGATGTTCCCGAGGCTCTGGTTTTGACGGAGCTGTCCTGGCTCCACCGCATGCAGCAAAAGCTGGAGACTTTATGCGAAACAGATGCGGGGAGGAATTCTTCTGAGGTATTACAGGAAACGAGCACCTTCCTCGAGAATCAGTTCAGCACGCTGGGAACGAACGTACGAAAGTTCTGTGCAGAGTTCGTGCAGGAGTTGCTGCTACCTTCAGATTCTGATGACAAATGCGAGGTCTCTCGAACCGAAAGCCCGCAAAACGAAGCAGCATCTACGAACAGCGCTGGAGCGGAGAAGTCATTGAAGCTTATCGATTCGCCCGTCTTTCACCTCGAGGGGCCGAGCGCTGCTGTCATGCCTGTGATCGCCACAAAAAAGCCGGTGCAATCTCTGCAGGCTCCAACTCAAAGTCAAAATAAAGAGGAAGAAAATCTTGACGAGCAACTAACTTCTCCCCTGATTGAGGCTCCAAACTGTTCTTCCTCCCAAAATTCATATGCGGACTCTACGGTTTATGAGCATTCTGAGGTCGACTTGAGTTCTTCCTCAAAGGCCAAGGAGGAGGAAGGAGAAGAATATGCACTATGGTTTGTGAGCGAGGAGTACCGAAAAATGAGATTAGGAAAGTCATCGTCCACATCGTCCGTAGAGAGCTGGGATGGCCATCAAAGGGTTGGAAGCAGTGACAGTCTGCTGGATTGGGAGCTGGTTTAGGTGAGTTGCGAAGAAACAATGTTTGTACATGGAGTTTCTAATGCACTTCAGACAAGTCTTTGTAGGATAGATTAGCAGTGAGAGTTTGGTAGTCTTCATTGACTGTGGAGGCAAAGGTCTTTAGTTGTGATGTAAATTGCAACCGACCGGGGGTTTATGTCTTTTAGACAGGGCTGTACCTAAGCATAGCCCTTCTTGTTCATTTTTCTTGTTGTCAGTTCATAGCTTTTGTCTAACGGCTGTAAGGAGATTTTGCGAACGCCAAGTGCATTTATGCCTTACAGTATCAAAGTTCTTAGAAGACAATTAAGGTACATTTACGATGAAGGAACGTACCTCTTATTTTGTAAGCAGGGTTGTTGACTTCGTCTGATCATGGTTGCAGCAGCTGCGAACGAGCTATGTCCTGGATACCGCAATTTCACCCCGGCCCGCTTACAATTATCGACCTATATATCCTCGCAGAAGCCTCCAGGTCAGAGACAAGTTGTCTCAAGGAACTGGGGTTTTTCACGGGTTTTTCACAATCCGTCAAATCTCTCCTTCGGAAGTGGACTCATCAAGCTAGTACCTTACATGCGTCCTCGAGGAGGTCGCAGCAGCCGTGCCCACTGCCTGGCTTTGGTTCCTTCCAACGCCTCCGAGTTCTAACATCGAAGAAGAGTCCACAGCAGAATGCAAGTTCTGGAACGATGGCTAAGATGTTCGTACTCTTTTCAGGAAGCGAGCTCTGTACAGGCCTCTTTTTGTCACGGTAGATCGACAACAGCTACAGCCACTCGAGGAATGCGAGCCTTACCACATCGACATTCACCGGATGTCTCCAACCGATTCTGTAGAACTGAAGTTAGAGTTACTCCTTGTCTCTTTCGACTGACGTCGAATCTCACTCAGCGGTGAGTGAAAATAATTTTGTCACCCCTCTTACACCCTTTTAAAGGATCAATGCAATAAAACTAAGTTCATACCTGTAATATCTAATCGCGCCTTTGGTCACTCATTGCTGAACTTCATTATGTCCTCTCGTTAAGCTAGAAGGCGCGTCACCTTGTATGTGGGCCTCATTGCACTCAGTTTCCTCGATGATAAATTGCTATGTGCCGACGAATACAATTGAAGTGACGTGGCTGTCACACTGGAGTCGTCAAGTTTCAAGTCTAAACCAAGTACCATGAAACCCCAATGTAATGCACATTAGGGTAAAGCCGGAAATGAACACACAACCTTTGAATTCCTACTCTCCCTTACGAATGAGGATAACTGAATGTGCCCGATCTAGGGATCGGGTTTCAATTGAGCTGAACCCAGGAGCAGGAATATTCTCTTATCTTACTGGAACAATTCTGAGGACGTAACCACGTGCCAACATTCCCAAAACATGTAACGCGGAAGTTGTTGAGGATTCAGACCCCATGTTCACCGTATATATATCTATGTCTGTATTTGAGGTGGTTTGACACGGTCATGCATTCTCTTGCTGCTTTGATTCAAGTAGATTGCAGTCTGTGACGGGATTGCATGAACCAAGACACGATGAGGGACAGTAATAAAGACAGCGCCATGCAGAGCAAAGGACATAAGAAACTATTATACGAATTCGAGCTTAGCGCAGGAAGGACACATTCCGTGTTCTTACCATTCACTGCTTACCTTCTCCCTTCCAGATCACCTCCCATTAGCAACTTCTTAATGGGATATTGTGCAAAGCTTGACTGAGGAAACGCACGATGACACCGCCACCTCATCAATGATCTTGATTATATCGACAAAATGTCAGCGACCAGCTGTCAGTGAAGGTCCTTGTCTGGTGGAATTTATGACTTTTTTGCTCCTCTGTACGTATGTGATATGACCGTCATCCGTATTTTCAACGATGTCTGTTTTACCCCAAGAGGAACGGTGATGAATCCATATCAATGACTCAGTGTTACGCATATTCACATTAATTGTGAACGGCAGCTGTGTGCATACCCTTGCAACACATATGTTATCGGCACCGCTAGATAAATCTTCCTGGGAAAATCTTGACTGATACTCCACTCCCGTCCATCTGCAGGTCAGGACATCGCACTCTAGTGCCATGGTTCTCTATTTTCACGTCAGCTAGCCAGTAACCTCATTAATATATATATATATAAATATATATATATATATATATCGACATCTATATGAACACGATGTACATGAGGGGCTACTCGTTAGCCAGACATCTCCAGCAAGAGTGATTTCATGACAAGAAGCGTTGCTCTGCACCATGACCATAGACGGAAGCATTCGTTTTTGTTCGTTGCAACAAGTCAACTGAGTAACATTCAGTCCCTGGTACGCACGAAGGTAAACTAGGCCTGTGGCAGGAGTCTCAAGGACGGTATAACGAACTCATTCTTCATGAGCGAACATGCATGAGAGGAGACAAGATCGGGAAAGAAGACAGGGTGGACCACTAACAAACTTCAGACGGTTTTGTGATCAGGTCGAATCTCGACAACGGTACAGATTCCTGTACGACATTCTAGACTTGTCCTAAAACTTTAAGGGCTACAAGTTCATTCACTCATTAGTTTAATTCGAAGACTGGTACACACATGTGGTGATAAAGGTCCTAACGGAGCTTTTGAATATATACGCGGCTCTGTTTACGTAACCTCAAACCATCCATATACAGATTAAGGCATTCGCTCTCATCCTCGTATGGTTCATGGAGGATTGGATTTGGCTAAGCTCCTCCCGTCTCCTTAGCAGGGAGAAGGCAGCCAGCAAATCCTACAATCCTGACTCCAGTACATTTCGATGTATTTTCCATCAACGCCAGTGGTAGTCATGGAACAAAGCCTGGGAAAAGATCATGCGCGTACAAACGGTCGGTGAATGACTCGTCCAATATTGTCACGAGCTTTTTAGCATCACGTGAACTTGCAAGCGATGGACTACTCTGTAAGTAATGGACAGTAATCTCGTTTGAATCGAGTTAGTTCAAACGAGTAAAGCCTAACATGAGAATCTGGCGTTGACATGTCGAATGGGAGTCCGCACTAACGTTTCATAACCTGGATTGCTCGATTCCCACGATGAGTAGTTTTTTCCTACTCTGAGACTGGCACTAAGGAATTGTTGAAAGCTAAATGGCTTGGCTGTTTAGTTCTTGAAGTTAATGGCTTTAGTCAAAGACTGATTTCCACGACACGAGGAATCAGTGGGCAAAGCACCTGGAGGTGTTTGCAGATTCACTGACAGTCCAGGTATAGAGTAGCTGGAACCAGCCGAATGAGTTTTGGTCACCAGGGTCACCAGTAGAATACAACGACTCATCTTACAACAAGTGGGCAACTCTTCCTTTCGCTAATCAACCAGCGGCTCTCAGCAGACGCTTGATTGAAGGTCAGGATTGACAGGTCGACTCTTCAGAATCGGGCTTCGTTCATAGTTAGCTGATTTCTCAGGACTTCAGCCGACGGACTGATTCACTGCTTCCTTGCATGTTTCAAAAGGAGACAGACGCCGACCGTGAGGTGAATTCTAATCGAGGAATCGCCAGCAATTTTCCCAAGACCGGAGAAATATCTCTCGTGTGCCTATTCCCTCACTTTTTCCGCACTAGCCAGCGTTTCCACACCATTCACAAGGATCGTACCGAGATGCGGACCGTATGGAACACAGAAATGATTAGGAATTTAACGAGGCCTAAATCACCAGCAGGTACAGAGCTACCATCCATAAGAGCTGACCCCATGTTTGACACCGAGGGCAAATTCACGCGGTTCCTTGTTCCTGCCGAAAGATGTTTGTACAGCAATAATGTTCATAAGCAACAAACTTCGTCGTATCGGGGCCACTTTCTAGAAGTTGGAAGTGGTGCTTGATCCGCGGTTTCTTATCTCTGCTTCGCAATTAACCGAAGAGAGATGATGTGCTGGACAAGCAGGAAATTGTGGAGCAGCCAATTCGGAAAGAAGACGAAACTCTCCGATAGGTTTGGAATCAATGTGCTTGGCTGGGGTTTGGCTTTTGACGCAAGAGATGGAACGTCCACTATCTAAGGCGCCCTTAAGCAGATAAGACCAGGCAAGCAGATGCCAATCTAATAGAACAAAACCGTAAAGTGAGAAAGTTACCAGGGGCTGCCATAAATGAGATCAGAGGATAGATATGTGAAATCAATCCAGTTGCCCAGCGTCTCCGCAGTTCATCATTTTTTAGAATAACTCGAGAACGACATGCAGGGGGGCGTCAGATTGACTGTTTGTCTGTCACAATCCCTGATGAGTCCAGATTCGTAACCTCCCTCTTTGGTTAGGTCTAAGCAACATCTGTTGGGAACATGATCAACAGTATTCTCTCGACATGTGAGTGGGCCCGCATGATAGATGGCGAGCCTTAAAGAGCATATTATTTTGATCAGGTTGATCGAACCGTGACCAAACAAAAGGGGTCATCCCATCTTGAAGGGCAAGTTTCTCAGTGATCAGGAGAATGGATGTAGGACATGTAGAAGGAGGAGGTACGGGCTAGCGCTGGTGCCGAATCATCCTGGAAAGGCTGCCCTCGAGGGACAAGCCTAGACAACGGTGGGAGGTGTCACAACAACAGAATTGGACATAGGAAGAACAGGCTTGCAGCATTTGGATTACGATGGAGCTACTCTCAAATGCTAATTTCTCGACCTTAGACACCTGCAAGCTCATTAACTTGATCTACGCTACTGCGCACAATGCAAGGGTGCACAGGCAAACCTGCATTGAATTTGCAAGCTACCTCAGCATTATAAGTACGATCCAATTCCCTTCATCACCTGATACATCGTCCATTCGGATTTCGTAAGAGTAGTTGCACATAGTGTGGCTTCATGAAGGCCTGTCACATGGAGGCCTGTCATATGTAGGCATTGTAAAATTGTCGTGTTCTGTTGCAGTTCTTTTCCACAGGTAGGTGAATGTAATGCTCGGAGGATGAGCCGTATCCATCCTCCGAGGTCATCTGTGAGAATCTGTACAACATTCAAGACGAAACTTCCACGATCCATACTTGTGATAGAATACTCACCTTCATTACTTGCTCTTGCTATCTTGGACAGATAATTTACTCTCATCTTTGCACCAATCGCCGCACTTTCTCAAACATCCTCCTGTTCAGGATGCTCTTACGATGCTTCACAGAACCCTGGTGAATGCGTTTCTTCTGGCTCAAAATTGTGAGCGCAGTAGCACGCTGAGTAGCGTCTTCAGGAACATACCTGCCCAGTTCAAGGCCTTCGAGATGGAGATTCAGAAAATCCTCTCGATTCTGAATCTCCCCAACCTCCATCTCAACTGGCACATAACCTACAATGTAAGTTATTCAGAACTTCCTCTGCCGACGAGTTAATCTACTGTTGTTCCTTTTCCTGATTTCGAATGCTTGATGATGTCAATGTCGGTTTAATGACCGACGTGATTAATATCTAATTGCAGAACACTAGGAAGCCCTAGTATCCATTGCACTGCTGCTGATTTATGTCTTTGGGAATGTATCGCTTATTCTGAATGTTGTAACTAGAATTCCCTGATCCAGAGAAGCAATCGACAGCTAATTTCAAACTGCTCTGTAGTGCTCATGCTGAACCCAGCATCTTCTCCTATCTGTGATGTTCTGTTCGCTAGAACGCGCATTCCTGAAACCATCTCGACATTGGTTTCCAGCTTGAATCGTAGAGCACAATATGTACTCCAGGGTAATCTGTAAGAGGCAGATTGTAGTAGAACCTTTAGGATAGTAGTGGTGTAATCTGTAAGAGGCAGATTGTAGTAGAACCTTTAGGATAGTAGTGGTGTACGTGGCCTTGGAAGGGTTGGTTGCCCGGCGACGCTTGCTGTAACTCACACGAGAGCAAGGCTTGCATTGCAGGACACGAATACAGTTTACCAAGCACCTCCAGAAAGAACTCCGGCCACATTCTTGACACAAAATCAGAGTTTTCCTGCCTATGGTACAAGGCATCGTGCGCTCCCAGCAAGAAGCTCAAGCGCATCACCAACATCCGGTCAAAGTTTGCCTACATTCCAAAACATACCTGCCAGGTCTCTGTCCATCACATGGGGCGAAGATGGGCGGGCCTGGCAATGGGTGTCAAGACGAGGCTCCAGGTATGCAGCCGGAATCAATGTTTAGTGTGAGCTGGTTGTATTAGCTGCGCATATTATCGATGTGAGAGCTTGCGCTTGCGTATCCAGCTTTGATACAAAAGCAGTGTGGTGATAGGGTAGTCAAGGTGCGTATTCGAGTGCTCATGAGAAATCGAAAACTGATAGAAGCTAACTCGTTGCCAATGTAGGTCGGGTTTCGAAAGAGTACCCTTCTCACTCCACTTCCCTTGTCATTTGTGCAGGTTTCGAGAAGTAGCCTACGTAGCTGAAGTCAGGTGGTTAGAGGTGGAGGGTCATATGAGCTGCAAACTCATGCCTGGAACTTACAGAGTATCGTGGAGGTTGCAAATGGGCTCTCTCAACAATGCGCAACCTTGCGGTTGGGAGTCGAACCCAGTTTTGTTCAGATTATTCACGGGGGATCATCTGCAGGCCGAATGTGCGACTTTCTTGGATGGGTCCAGCGGAAGAACAGCCAAGTCAATCGACTGTTTTGTAAGGAAAGTCGCAGATGGTTGGCTGGAATACGATGTGGGAACATTCACCTCAAGCAATCCGGAAATTCCGGTGGACCTGACCTTCTCCATGCACGAGCTCAAAGGAAGTTGGAAAAGCGGCCTCTTCCTGGATGGAGTCGTCATCGTCCAGGTGTCCGATCTGGTCGAGGACACTATGGTCGATGCGGGTTTGTACTCCGCAGACTTGAGTATTGGTCTTTCGAGAGTGGTTTCCTTCTCCAGACACCCTCATGACCTCGAACTGATGAAACATCCTTATAGATACACCTGCAATGTTTGCAAGTGCCCGGAGAGCGGAGTGGGCTATCGATGTGACAAGTGCGACTTCGATGTCCATCCGCACTGTGCCGAAGAGAGTGACTCCAACTTTTCGGACTGTAACTCGTGCCTCGAGTTCTCACGGGCTGACGTTTTAGAGATGACCAAGCTTCGGTTATGAGAGAGAGAAGCAAAGGGAAAGAGATTGGCTATGTTTCTTGACGTCTCTATCATTTGGAGCTGAAGGAAACGGCTCCGATTACGTCACCGGCGAAGTGAGGATGATGATGGTCTTGCCATTTGACAAGTTTGAATTGATGTGCTGTTTGGCCTGAGGGTAAACTAAGTTTTTCAGGTGTAGACTCTTGTCTCACAAGTAGCATAGCAGTATGTCATTATACTAGAGAGACATATCAGTGTGTATAGACGTGTTGCCTGCCAAGACACTAGATGGTCTCCTAGGCAGGAGACGAGATGGTAGTCTACAATTATTTATCCATCCATCTCAGGGAATGACACCCCTGTCACGTGAGATTTGAAGTTCCACGACAGGTTGCTGCGAAGGCGAGACACCCGTCGACAACATGTGCACGGGGCAGTGCTATCACTGGACATTCAGAACACCGAGTGTCTGGCATGTTCGACATCATGGACTTCATGTGTTCTGCTGAAGCTGTGGAGCGGATTAATTTCAGACGTTTAAGAATTTAACAAATTCAAGGAGGAGGATAGAGCTGCTGAAGATTTACTGCAGAGCGGCCTTATTCAAAAGGTATAGGAATACAGCCAATTCATGGCGAGAATGGAGCAACAACAATGGCTTGCTCCATACGATTCAGGTGAGCCTAAAACTCACAGATTGATCGAGAAGCTGAGGAGCCGCTAGAAGGTAAGGAGGCTACGCGCAGGAAGTGAAGTCGCCTTGCCAAGGTCTCGAAGGAGAGAAGATTCGACGTCCGTACTCCTTTCAAGAGAATGTCTCCATGTTGGTGGGTTGCACTGGTGAAATACATTCACCGACTAGTTTTGGCAGTTAGAAAAAACGAGGCTCGTTAAAAGACATAATTTTGTTCAGCAATCTAGAAACGGTTGCAGTAAGAGTTTCAAAGCATCGAATCAAAATTTGTAAAATTATACTCAAAAAGGTAGATTATTCATTCTTTAACTTCACAGTCCTCGCTACTTTCGGTTAGCATTCTAGAAAAGATTGCCATAAGAGATAGCAGAACATGTATTCTAAACTTGTAGATTTATATCTGAAAAGAAATAAGAGACATTTAACAATTTGGAACCATAGATGGACGTCCTGTCCTTTATGTCCTGTCTATCAATCATTTGCTTGTCTCTCTCGCTCTGGAGTATAATCTACCGCTGATGATCGTCCGTTAATGGGATTTCAACACGTTGTGTCCAATAAACACCGCGCATCATGTGCAAGGACACGGGTTAGCATTTGTAACCACACGATATAAATGCCTATGGACAACGGATGAATCGAATAGGATAGAAAACGGGAAGGGTTCGTTCTTAGAGTAATACTTGATTACAGCTTGTGGGTTCTTTTCCTTGAAAAGAAAGCCATGGAGGTAAGTAGCGCAGTCCTGCAGGAAATTCTCTAGGTATGGAGACAGCTGTAAAGAAAATGTCCTCGTGAAAATATCCTCATTTTACGAGCTGCACGTGCTGGTGGAAACACAGACGCAGATCCAATCGTTCCAGAACTCCATAACTCCGAAACGAATCGTTCCATCACCTTTGTTTCACAATGCGGTTCTCATCGGCAAGAAATAACTCCCCGAACATTGTTCGATCTCGACACAGTACATCAAAACCAGTTTAGTGCAAAGAACGAAGATCCACAATCGACATGTAGCAAAGAGGGATACAAAAATGTCAGCGAAACAAAGGCTTCCGACGTGCATCACAGAATCATGCCACTCCGAATCACGAACCCGACCACACTTCATTCAGTCATCCCACCCCGTCACAACAGCGCCCCGTAATGTGCTCTGAGGGCAAGAAGAAATGCCTCCTCTCGAATCAGAGGCCTGGTAAGAAAAGGTATCCAGGCGGCCCGCCAGGTCTCGAAGCGCTCACTCATTTTGTGCTCGTAGACAGCCTTGGGCTGAAGAGGAAGATGGCAGCTTGAATGTGAAGCTTCACATTCAAGCTTCAACCAGCCGCCTTTAATTCGAATTCAAATAAGTCGGGTTGCGTGTAGCACATTGCAATTGACACATGACTAACAGCTCTAGAACAAGATCTATTGATGTAGATATGTTTTTTATAAACTGTAACAGATTTTATAATAATCAAAAACTTAGCTAAGTAATCGTTTTAAGAAACTTTATATCTTTCAATAGATGATAAAGGATTCAATTCTGATCATCTGGAGTTACAAAGTTACACAATTGAATATGCCACTACGAAAAAACCTAATCGAATTAGAATATACACAAATTTAATTTTAGCTTCATTATCTTCAATTCGCATGTAAGAATTTACATGACCATGATGTAAACGAGACGTATAGTCCTCGTGCATGAAATGTAATCAAGTGATAGCATATTGGCAAAACTAAAGATTGATAAAGTAAGTATAAGGAAAGTATTATTATGTTAGTTATCCTGATATAGCATTTCATTTTTGCATAATGTAGTCTCACATGTGCACACTAGAATAAATTTTGTGGTCAAATGACTTTGAGTATAATGTGGGAAAACATATGAAAGCTATGATAGCTTTCAAATAAATTGACCATCAGAAGTCTATACTGTAACTTTACAATATAATCACTTTAGATCTTTTGCAAATTCAAGTAATAGTGTTGATGTTTGTATTCCTTTATCTTTTTCTTTGTGATTAGAATGTTTCATTCTCAAATCGTGAGTTTTGTAATGGATCATTTAAATTTATTATCTACATTAGTGACTTATGTTATAGATCATCACGGTTATGTATTTCAAGTTTTAAGTTTATATCAATTGTCATATTTTATTTTTTTATATTATCTACATTTATGACTTATATTTTTCATATGCCTAAGGGTTTGATTGATATATTTTACAGAAAAATTGTCATTTTGTAACATAAAATCAATGAGAACTCATAAAATACACAAACAGAAAAATTCACAAGTACAAAGCCAACAAGAATATATATGGTTTGTCATTGTCAAGTTGCATCCACAAGAACAATAAAAACTTTACTACAAACTAAAAAAGTGTTCAATGTGGTTAATGAATTAAATTCTTATATATACATGGTAGTGGAATTCTTAATTCTAATTATAACTATGATTAAATCCAAACATTATTCTAACTTGTGTTGATTACTAAAATCTAACTTCAAACTTGAGTTAAAGTTAACAATTGTAGCATATAATATAATATAATATAATATAATTATTTATTACAATTCTGTTGACATATGATAGTTTGCAATGTATGAAATATATATTGTAATGTGATATATTTGTGCAAAATCATACTGTAAACAATTGATTTGTGCAACAAGTATCAATCTAATTTGTGTATTTCTAGTTCAATTCATATTTAACTAATTGAATTTCATTGTTTAAGCATGTATTGATTGATGATATTTGATATATGTTCTACAATTGTGAAACATGCTAAAGTATTATCATAAGTTATTTGATAACTCATAAGCTCTAAAAGTAATTGCAATTCTTGAAAGTTTACAAGCAATAGTTTAAACAATGTTGGAATCATACCAAATATGTAACATGATGAAATTTTATAAAACTCATACAGATATAATCTTGAGTAACTTTATATATTTGGTGACAACACATTTTGATGTCAACACTCACAAACTTGATGTCATCAATTTTCTCGAAGATGATGCAAGCATGAGTACTCTCATGAGATTCTAGATTATTGTGTAACATAGTCATATCCCACTTAAGTGATAAAAAATATTTTATGTTTTACAATTTTATTTATTTGATGTGGAATAAGATGTGATAAATGTGTAGAATCATTTCCAAGTAGTATAAGACTCATGCAAGTTTGATTTTAAAAAATAAAAGTTTTTGTCAGTTGTTTGTAGCATATCACATAATGTATTCATTCATTCAAAAATGTCTCATCCATCATGCACAAAAGTTATGATATGTGAAACATACACTTAACCATTGAGAAGTTAATTTATAAATTATATATATTTCAACAAAATAATGTGAGAGTAGATCACTATGATTTGATGTGAATACATATAATATCATTTAGATCTCGATATGTGTGATGTATATTTCTTCACAATGAAAATAATTGAATTTGTTGAAATGATGGAGCATGTGATAATTAAACAACTTTTCAATATGAACCGTCATCATTGTACATGATTGATGGTTATAAAATAATGATGAATAAATGAATAATCATAATTTGTATCATTTAAGTTTCATATAAGGTTCCAGAGACAGAGTGAGTCCAATTTTGAGTTTTGAGCTTTGAGTGTCAAGATTTGAGGTCAGAAGATTTTTACGTGAGCTGGTTCTTCGAGGTTGAGAGTGGTCTGGAGCTGAAACTTTGTGGCACGCTGGAGCTAAGCAGGATGCACAAGCTTGCAAAATCTCAAACCAAATGCAATTTGGAGCAAGAAGTTGACACGTCTTGAAGGTTTGAGCTTTTTTTGAGAGGGGAGGGCCAAATTTTGCAAGAGCAATAACTTCAGACTGGAGTGTGAACGGGGGCTGAAATTTTGTGGCATTGTGAGGTTGAGCAGAGCGCTAAAGCTTGTCAATTTTAAGATTGAACGGAGTTCTAGAGACATACTGCGTCCAATTTTGAATTTAAAGATTTGAGGGCAAGAAATTTATATGTGAGATGTTTCTTCAAGGTTGGGAGTGTTGTGGAGCTGAAACTTTGTGGTAAGTTGGAGCTAGGCAGGGCGCACGAGTCTACAAAATCTCAGACCGAACGCAATTTAAAGCAAGAAGTTAACAGTCTTGGAGGTTTGAGTTTTTTTGAGAGGGTATGGCCGAATCTTGCAGGAATTGTAACTTCGGGTTGGAGTGTGAACGGTTTGCTTACTATTTATTTGCTAATTTGTATGTTTTATGTTTTGTTTTATCAACATCATGAATTTTTACAAAAAATTTATGTTTTTATTTACATATTTCAAATAATAGGAGCATTACTTAATTTGGAATTATTCTCAAATGCCACCATGCTATGGTTATTTTTTTGACCAAGGAAACAAAAAAGATGATGGTATAAAATGTTATATTCACCACCAACAAGATCAAAAAGTTGAGAAAATTGCTTGATGGAATACTTTGAAAAAACTACACATTTGATACGATCAAACAATATTCATTTAAACTATATGAGATCTTCTTGACGACCATGCGTCCAACTTAAGCCATGTTACAATAAAAGTTGTTATAATCCAATAATTTGTGCTTTGGTACGAGGGAGATATTGCCACAATTGAAGTAACATACTTCCATAAGAGAGTTTCTTGACAACTTGTTTACAACCATGTTGTAGATTTCATGTTCATGTCCGTGAAAACGACAAGCAATTACTCGCACAACTTTTGATTTCACTTTACCGTCTATAGCAAATTTCAAACATTCTTTGTGAATCCGCTAGTAAAGATTGATTTGTTGTAATTGCAACAACGTCTAGAGTGTAGAAATGAGGAGACCGACAAGAGTTGATAATGATGCGGCTTCATTGACAATTTGGCGAGTGCAACAAATAAGGCCGGAGAAAAAAGCACATTCATACGAATAGATTGATGACAAAGAATTGTCCCAATGATCAGTCTAATACAATTGCAATGGTGACATTTTGCTCAAGAAAAACATAGATGCAATAGAGCGGACGAGAATAAATGTTCAATTTTGCTGCTACGCATAACTTCAAAGAAATATGTCAAAAGTATCTCGGCCATTAGATTAAAGTACTCACCGAGAATGTATTAAAGTGACTACATTTGAAGAAACTTTGCAAGCTTCCTACCCAAAATCACCAAATAATCCATATTGAAGCATGACTATAGGTGATGGTGGGCTACAGGGACGTCGACGATCCCATAGGGTCAAATGAACCCTGTTGGGTCCTGTCAAGTGTGTTGCTTCACGCAGGAACCATCAAAATTTTCTCCAAGAAAATTTTCATTTAAATTTCTATTACTTAACAACATGGTAATTGACATTTTTTGTCTGTTAATTATATTTCCAGTTTTTATCACTTCTTTCGTTTGATATCACTTTTTCAATATTTTTCTTAGTGTGTGGCACCAATTACATGTTTGAATTGGAAATGAATGTTAAACTTCACGGCTGGAAATAAAAATAATAGCTTTATCGATGAGCTAACCATGGGTACCCTACTTGACCTAAGACTGTTGTTGCTCTTGTGTACATGATGCACTATGCTAAGTGTTATATATCTATGAGAGTTGCTAATGTAAAGGCATATGGAAAGACATGATTTGAATAAAATCGTTATAAAAAAATTGGTACTAATATATAATTATGTGTTTATATATATATATGTATTTTTAGAAATACAATCTAATTGAGTGTTCACTTTACATTAAGAATTTGGACATTTAAAAAAATCTCCGATGATATAAGACATTGATTAAAGACTATTGTGCATTTTGAAGAAATTTAGATTTATGTTTGAAGTCTACAAATTTGATATTGGAAATACGACAAATATCACATATGTAAAATAGCTTGAGTTATTCAGTAAAATCTAAATACAAGGAGGATAGATCTATCGGTGTCTCCAGAGTAAGACGATGCGTGGCATCTGAAGTCCAGAGTCTAAACTGACAAGGCGCGAAGAACTCCCTAAAGTCGGCTGAAGGACACGGTCCAGCAGTTCAAAAACATTTTACAACCTGCCCTGCCCGGGGCCAGTGTTCAAACTACAGGTGTCCTCGGAAGACACCAACTTGCGTTCAAGCAGACTGCGCCACGTGCCCCCCTCCGGAGCCCGTTGCTGCCCGGCTCTACCCTTCCCGCCTTTTGAAAATCTCCCGCAGCATGAATCCAGAGCCCGACGCACCGAAGCTCCTCGTTCTCAATTGCCGATCGTCTCCAGGGCTTTCGTGAATTGCTACTCTCGGTCGAGGTCTGAGATCCGAACGCCTCGAGGTGCGAGTTTAGTTGAGTGTGCATTTGAGTCTCGGAGGTCGAAGCGGTCCGCGTTCAAGCGTGTGTCCATAGGTTCAGCTGGAGGTGTCGGCAATCGAGTTTTGCGAAAGGATCGGAGGGACTGCAGATTGAGTTTTCAGTCCGATTTCAGCTGCCTCGTCGATTTCAATTTGTCGAGGCGTAGGACCTTCAGGTGGATTGAGATAATGGCGGCAGAGCAGGAGGATGTGCAGGTCGAGGAGGAAGAGCAGGGAGCGGCACAGCATGGCCCCTTCATGGTGGATCAGCTGCAGGTGAATTGCCCTTTGATGTCGTGTATTTCCGGTTGATACTGTGTGAGAGGCTGCTTTCCACGCTGCCATTTTGAAGTTGACGATGTGATTGATTTGGAGTGCACAGGCCTGCGGTGTTGCTGCTACGGACATTAAGAAGCTCAAGGAGGCTGGATTCTGCACCGTGGAGGCTGTGGCATACTCTCCTAAGCGTGATCTACTGAAGATCAAAGGGCTAAGCGAGGCTAAGGTCGATAAGATTTCAGAAGCAGGTGCAGAAGTCCCTCAAACTTGAACGGCGGGATGAAATTCAGTACTGAATTCTGTTTCCGAGGGAGTTTCTAACTCGGCCTCTTGTCTTTTCCAGCTTCCAAGCTTGTGCCCATGGGCTTCACAAGTGCCACCATGATGCACGAGCAGCGCTCGGAGATCATCCAATTGACCTCGGGTTCGAAGGATCTCGACAAAATTCTTGAAGGTAGGTGGCATTCTTCCGAAGGGGAGTGCATATGCCTTGCTATGAAAAAATGAGCTCTGTAGAGAGTAGTGGTTTGTGAACTTACAGTCTTGCTGAATCATGGTTGGGTCCATGACGAGGAAGTATCTATCATATACGCTCAGCAGTGAACGACTTCTCAAGAATTTTAGCCGATTTTTTTTGTTGTGTTGAGCAGCCGCCTTGCCTCTAACTTGATTCTAAGTAAACTCGCACTCAAATATTGGACGAAATTTCAGTAGGTGTAAAAGTTAACCCACCATGTTCCTGCATTTCGCTCCTCATCCTGTAAACTGATGTTTGAGGTGTGGTTGTGGATATGTAGGCGGTTTTGAAACAGGATCCATTACTGAAATTTATGGAGAGTTTAGGACCGGCAAGACCCAGCTTTGTCACACACTCTGTGTAACATGCCAGGTTGGAATCATCCTCTGACCCCCATGGACTGTGCAAATTGTCATTTGTCTGTGGTTTTCTCTCTGCCCGTCGGATCATTCTCACTCGATAACCACTTGTGCTCACAGTTACCTCTAGATCAAGGAGGGGGCGAAGGAAAGGCCTTGTATATCGATGCCGAGGGGACTTTCAGACCTCAACGATTGTTGCAAATAGCTGAGAGGTAAGCATTATGGTTCAAATCTTCGCTATCATCACATCATATATTTCCTTCCAGATTCTGACGTGACTGTGACATGGGCAGATATGGGTTGAATGGCAACGATGTTCTTGACAATGTTGCCTACGCTCGAGCGTACAACACCGATCATCAATCTAAACTCCTGATTGAAGCTGCCTCCATGATGGTGGAGTCCAGGTGGAACTCTCTTAACACCAAACTTTCGTCTCAAAACGTTGATTTTGTCTTCACGTTTTTGTATGGGCTTCAGGTTGGTGTCGATATGTTTCTGGTATGACAGACGTTAATGAGTACCTATAGCTGCTGAACGGAATGTCTTCAGTTATCTAACTGACTCTTTTGTGCAGGTTTGCGTTGATGATCATAGACAGTGCGACTGCACTGTATAGAACGGATTTCTCTGGCAGAGGTGAATTGTCTGCGAGACAAATGCACCTCGGTAGATTTATGCGGAGTCTTCAGAAGATTGCCGACGAGGTGAGAAACTTTGTAATAGTACTGATGTGGTTTCACCAGCAGTGTGCTATATTTTCAATTTTAGACCTACTTTCTGATGAGTCTGAGTACTGAAGAAGTCATGTGCCTTCAGTTCGGTGTCGCAGTCGTTATTACCAATCAGGTCGTAGCGCAAGTGGATGGGGCCGCCATGTTTGCTGGACCTCAAGTGAAGCCTATTGGTGGAAACATCATTGCACACGCTTCTACAACCAGGTGCGTTTCTTCTCTGCATTGATGTATCTCTGGGTTCCGGAAGATCTGCCCTTTAAAGACTACGTTTTACAATGATATGATATGATATGATAATCCTCATTAAGACCCTCATGAAACAGCCTACCAGCAACATAAGGCGACTGCACTGCAATTTCACCTGTACAATGAATGGGTGCGAAATAGGTTGGCTACCATGAAGCATAACCGTGTTTGATCCCACCTTTTCTGGACCTGTTTCTGCAGACTTTCGCTGCGTAAAGGTAGAGCTGAGGAGCGAATTTGCAAGATTGTTTGCTCACCCTGTCTGCCAGAAGCTGAAGCACGGTTTCAAATATCTCCGGAGGGAGTTACTGACGTCAAGGAGTAGTGACCATGAAGACCATACATAGTCTGGATCACAACTTTTGAGAACCTCCAGCAACAAGTAGGACAGATGCCGGGCTGATCCGCATGATATCGGTGCTGAATTCCAACTCTTCACACGCAATTGCCGAACTGCTCACCTGTTAACCAAGAGCTCTCAGTCGACTCTGAACTACAAAAAGCTACACATCAATCTTGTAAAGAAAGAACGAAGTTGGAAATAGCTTCCAGTGACTAGCTTGTACTCTCTGCTACTGAAGTGCCGTAGTGGTACAAAGATAGTGTAACCCGGCTGACTGACTTCTAACATAACTCCGCCGCATGTCTGACGGCCATAAGCTGCACTAGCCTAAATTAGCTCTAAGTGTGGCAGGTTTTTCCCAAGAATCGAATTCTCATGATTCGTTTACGGCAATGTATATTGATTGCCTTCAGGATGTATTCATAAGGACGGACGATGTAAACACTGTATCACGGTTACTCAAACTGTCTATTCCAGGAAGTGATAAATTACAATTCACTCAGACCTATTTTTTCAGTCTGAGCTTTCCGTCCATATGTGCGTAAACTCAAGTGCAATATCTATTGAGGGTTCTCACTCCTCAAATACGTGCAGTACAATCTGACTTGTTAGATGTCGTTCGTGAATGTCACTGTCGTCGGACTTGCCATGGACGTTGACTTGATCGATGGGCGATGTTTTCTACGACGTGAGGGGTCCAGTTTACTCACTCGGGTGCCTAAAGATGTCAATCGTTGTACTTTATGACTCGCTATCTTAGTAAGTCATTCAAATGACACGAAGGAATCTTGGACCTAAGACGCCATAGAATTGTCCGACTGAACACAGTTAACTTGTGTATGCCAAAGTGTCGCAGGAGGCACGGAATTTGACAGTTGTCAGCGTGAGGATAAGACTAAGATGTGCACTGTTGCAACACTTGAGCTGCACTCCACTTCCGGCAGCGGCGACTGAAGCTATCGTACAGGAACTGAGGAGTGAAGTTCTGCCTTCTCTCAACACCATGAACCATCGCAAGGGTGCCTACACTCAGTCCGTACCATCATCGAAGGACCAAGAACAAATAGTTCACACGGAGAACACAAAGTTGCATCCCCAATTTCGTGGCTACTATGTATTCTTCTCGACACTGATGCCCAAACATTCGCACAAGACGTTCCGTGTCTCACTTCGCCATCTTACGGCAAATAAACAATGACCCCCGAGTCAACTAAAGGAGTGCAGATGTCAATTGACGTAAGAGGCCAAGACTTCGCCAGGCTCCAGCTGTTGAAGACAGGAGACGAGCTGCGAAGAACAGGTCAAGAAGTATATCTGAAGCGGATAACACTCACATTTGGCGCTGTACAGAATGGTCAGTCGGGAGTTGGTCGTGGTGCCGTCTGCCAGAACGAAGGCAATGGCAACATGTCGCGGGCGAGCAGGTGGAAGGTGATCTTGTTCAGATAAGAGTTAGAGGCCAGTTCCATATTAGCTCTTCAGCTCATCTCTGCTCTCGGCCTTTCTACGGAATAGAGTTGATTCTATGCTCTACGAAACTTCCTCGACGCTCTCGTTCCAATGCACGAGCGAGATGGAGACGGAGATGTCTGACAGGCACGCCCAGTCGAGGCATCGATCCTGTCCCGGCTTCTGTCGCACTTTCCTAAATCCATCTATTCCGAAGCAAGCAAACGAAAGGCGCACACCATCTCCGTCGCAGAGTCGAGCTCCGTCCGACGAGAGCAGGTGAATCAAGATCCGCTTCAGATAAAGGAAATTCCTCCCATACGTCCCTAAACTTGGTCCGGAGTCCCGAGCTGCAGCTGCTGGGGCTGCAGACGAGCGAAGATAGGCGCACGGTCAATCGCGCTGGTCGCATTTCACCAGCAGCGCGCGAGAGGGTAGAGGGCAATTGCCAAAACGCGGATCCACTTTCTTGCTTTCTTGAGCGCCTGGGTCGGGGCCGCTTGGCTCGACTCGTCGTCGATGGCGAATCGGAGCAAGAACTCGAGCGACGAGGGCCGAAGAGCCACGAGGGGCAGGTGGATAGACGAATCCACTTCGGATCACGGCATGCCCGAGGCTCCCGTTTACAGTAAACAATTTGGCACGGCCGGGCTGGCCCCGACCGCAATTTAGCAGGCCTGGCCGGGAGACTGGCCTTCCGAAATAGCACCCTCAACCGATCGCCGCCACGACAGATGGTGCGGACGCCATCGCAGAGCAAGCCCTGCCGATTCCGATGGTCCCGAAGAACACGCCTGCGAACCCCAATTCTTCATCTGGTCCACTTCCAAACCCCCACCAAAACCCAAACCCAAACCCAAAACCCGAAAGCCCAAACTCCCCTTCCCACGTCCACCACAAACCTCGCGCCCCTCGAAAATCAATCACTCCTCATCCCATCGACCGGCGGCTCTGAACCATGACGCCCGCTCCTTACATCAGCCACGGAATCTCCGACGATCCGCCCTTGGCTTGCGCTCATCACAGCGAAAGAAAAGCAAGAACCCGGAGCTTTGACTCGCGTTCCGGTGGGCCAGGCCTCCGATCCGAGCGCAGGAGCTCATTAAAAGGCCCCCGATAAATTCACGGATCGATCGATCGAACAGAGGAGTAGAATCAAAGGTAGGCAACTGAAGAATGTCTGGGACTGGCCGTGAGGGGGTGGTGGCCCACCACTGGTGGGTCAGTTACGGTTTGCCAAGATGGAGGTGGGGCCCACTTGGCCGGGGCGGGCTTGGCCTCGCGGAGGCCCGCGCGGAAGGCGGAGGCAGTGGCAGCCGGGGGCCGAAGGGAGTGAGGCTCGGGGTTTGTCTCTAGCCTAAATTGGCGTATGGGCGGGCTTCAGCTGGCCTTTATAAGCCATCCCTCGTGGCCAGACGTAGCGTGTCGTCCTGTGCTTTCCCCTCCGCTACTGCTGCTCTGGGGCTCTCTCTGTCTCCTGCTCGCTGGTAGGCCCTTCGGCCACGCCCGTCTTCTATATCTTGCGCCTCTGGTTGTCGAGCAGGACGGTCGTACACGAGACCCAGAGCAGAGAAGCAGGAGGTCCGGTAGTGGTAGTGGTAGTGGAGGGGTGAGGGTGAGGGTGAGGATTCGAAAGCTTTCGTCGGCAGGTGTTCGTGGGAATTGGAATTGTAATTGGAATTGAAGTTTGAACTGTCGTCGAGGTTTCGTTTCGGGTGGTGAAAAAAATCCAGCGGGAAAAAAAATTCTAGAGGAAATCATGGACCCCGTCGCCGAGAGGAGGCTGAGGCGCATGTTGGAGCACCTCGTGGCTCCCCAGCTCAGCACCGTGAGCCTGGATCGCTCCGTGTGCCTGTCTCAGACTGCCAACGCCAATGCCGCTCAGGAAGACGTCGTCTACGTGCCCGGCGACTTCGCCCGAAAATCTTTGATTTCGTCCCGATCTCAGGTCCGATTTTGCTCTTGCTCTAAATTGCCTGTTTTTCTGAATCATTCATTCCCCGAAACCAACGGGGAAAATTTCGAGCAGTTAGTTAGCAGGGGACGACGAATTCCCGTCGCTCGATTGCAGCTGAAACCGTCGCACGTCTAGCACGTCGGAGGACATCCGCTTCAATCGATCTCGTGAGGATGCCAGTCACGCTGACCTCTGATTATGGCCTGGTCGTTCGAAATTGCAGTACGAGGAGCTGTACAACGAGGCCATCGCCGATCCCAACGCTTTCTGGGGCAGAGTCGCCGCAGGATACTTCTGGCAGAAGCTGTGGGACACGAGCAAGCCAATCTGCAACTACAACTTCGATGCCGACAAGGGCCCCGTTTTCGTCGAAGTGAGTTCCACCGCCGCCGCTGTCAATTCGTCATTTAAATGCATCTCTCTCTCTCTCTCCTCGTTCACGTTCATGATCTGATTTCGCCGGCGAGAGGACGTGGAAATTCTCGAATTTCGAAGAGGTGAGGGCCAATTCTGACGCAATTTTGAGCTTTGCGTGCGCAGTGGTTCAAAGGAGGGTACACGAACGTGTGCTACAACGCGCTGGACAGGCACGTCCTGGCCGGGCATGGACATCAGATGTGCTTCCTGTGGGAGGGCAACGATCCAGGCCAGAACGCGTACCTGACCTACAGCGACGTCCTGAAGAAGGTGTGCCAGGTCGCGAATTTCCTCCGAGCCCGGGGCGTGAAGAAGGGAGACCGAGTGTGCATCTACATGTCGATGATCTGCGAGCTGCCCATCGCCATGCTGGCCTGCGCTCGGATCGGCGCTGTCCACTCGGTGCGTAGGATAACCCCGAATATTCCCCTTCGTTGCTGTGAATGAATCCCTGCGTCTTTTGTCGTGAATGTCTGTCGTAAATGAATAAAGTGTCGTGAATGCTTTCTGGAAGGAGATTCTGATCGTCGGAGAAAATTCGCTGCGTTGTGCAAATCAGGTCGTCTTCGGAGGGTTCAGCTCGGAGTCGCTGGCCGGACGCATTCTCGATTGCCAGGCCAAGGTTCTGCTCACGTGCTCGGGAGGTCGACGAGCGAACAAGGTCCTCCCTCTGAAGCAAATCGTGGACGATGCTCTGCAAATCTGCCTCAAGGAAGGCAACTTCCGAGTCGGTACGTTCCATGGCCTCGAACCACTTGGTGGCTATTTTTCCCTGCAACTGCGTTTGCGCACGGATTTGACAGAAGTTGCCGTTCTTTCTTTTCTATTTCAGAGACCTGTTTGGTGTACGACAACAGCTTCGCCATTCCTCGTCAGAACGTTCCATGGGTCCAGGGACGGGACGTCTGGTGGCAGGAGACCATCTCTCAGTTCTCGGTCGATTCCCCCGTCGAGTGGATGGAGGCGGAAGAGCCGCTCTTCATGCTCTACACCAGTGGCTCCACCGGCAAGCCCAAGGTCGGAATCATAAGCCCCTCGCATCGTCGTTAGTTTGTCGTGAGGGTGAATAATGCCTTGGCTGCATGGAGACGGACGCTGACAGTTGCCTCCTGCCTTATTACTGCAGGGACTGATCCACACCGTCGGCGGGTACATGGTGTACGCTGGGCTTACGTTCAAGCATGCGTTCGACCACCAGGCCGGTGACATTTTCTGGTGCACAGCCGATTGTGGCTGGATCACGGGTCACACTTATGTGGCCTACGGGCCGCTTCTGAACCGCGCCACTTCCGTCATCTTCGAGGGAGTGCCGACGTTCCCCGACGCCGGAAGGTGGTGGCAGATCATCGACAAGTACCAAGTCAGCATCCTGTACGCGGCCCCGACCGCCATTCGAACTCTCGCCGCTCAAGGGGACGAGATCGTGCGCAAGTACTCGAGGAAGTCGCTTCGGCTCCTAGGATCCGTCGGAGAGCCCATCAGCCCCAAGACCTGGCAGTGGTTCTACGACGTCGTCGGCGACTCTCGATGCCCCATCGTCGACACCTGGTGGCAGACGGAGACTGGAGGATGCATGATTTTCTCCCTCCCTGGAGCTTGGCCCATGAAGCCCGGATGCGCTTCTCTGCCCTTCTTCGGTGTGCAGGTGAGTTTTTGGCGCCTGTGTTCGATATTTTCATACCCCCACCTCCGCCAAAATCAAAACTGTCAACCCTGTGACGCCTCGTTCATCTCCGTGAATCAGAAAATCAGAAAACCAAAGAATCTGTACTTTCACACTGTTTTTTGCACTTCCATCTATTTGAATGTGGACTGTTTGATATGCGAGCTACATCTGCCTCCGTGAATCTGACCTCTGATTTATCTTCACAAGGGTCTTCATTCTTGTTAACTTCATAGCCGACATAGATGAGCTTGAAATCTGAGCTGGGATGACTTAAACGGTTGCAATTGTCTATGCAGCCTGTGATTTTGGACCAGGAAGGAAAGGAGCAGCACGGACCATGCGAGGGGTACCTGTGCATCAAGGCGCCATGGCCGGGCGTTGCAAGGACGGTGTTCGGCGACCATGAGCGATATGAGAACACTTACTTCAAGACCTGGAAGGGGCTGTACACGACCGGAGATGGATGTCGCCGGGACGCCGATGGTTTCATCTGGATCACGGGCCGTGTGGATGACGTCCTCAACGTGAGCGGGCACAGGATCTCGACGGGAGAAGTGGAGGGGGCTTTGGTTTCTCATCCCCTGTGCACGGAGGCTGCAGTCGTCGGCTACGACCACGAGGTCAAGGGGCAGGCAATTTACGCTTTCGTTAGTCTGAGCCACGATGCTACGCCCTCGGACGCCCTGAAGAAGCAGCTGCAGGACGCCGTGAGGAAGCAGATCGGAGCATTCGCTGCTCCGGATGTTATTCAGTGGGCTGTCGGTCTGCCCAAGACCAGGAGCGGAAAGATCATGAGGCGCATTCTGCGCAAGATCGCAGCTCGTCAGTTCAATGACATCGGTGACACCAGCTCTTTGGCCGATCCTTCAGTCGTCGACCAATTGATCAAGGGCATGTAAATCAGCAGCACAGAGGCCGGGGGCTTTTGTGAACGTATATAGCGAGAGCAGTGGAAGGAAGGAAGGAAGGTGTTTCTAAGTACGAAGATGTACTGAGCCGGCACATGTTCTGTACTATTTTAGAGAACGGTGTAGAGAGTAGAGATGGGACGGGTAGAGGGTCGAAGCTGGAGGCTTAAAATTAAACTATTTTGCGCTAGTCTGCAATATGGCCATTGTAAAAATCGCCCAACGGATGCTCGTTTTTTAAGGTATGGTCTGGACGTAAAGTCATCTCAACAGACCATTTTTGCAAAGTATGTGAGCTTTCAACACGTTCATGGCTTGTGTGATGTTTTGAATGTTAAAACTTTTTGATGTTTGAACATTTTTCCAATTTTCTTACGTAACTAATAATACTCTAATCAATATAAAATTCTCTGCGAACATACTACCACATTCTGCGAATCTATTGTGAGCAGATGTACAGTTAATATTGCATGAAAATACAAATACTCGTCATCTAATCTTTATTACTCCATAACGTTCACCGTATCCTACTCATCCCGTCGTTAATACTCAGTTTAAATCAGTTATTCACATTTTTAAAAGAACTGATTCAACACAAATGTTTAACTCAGACTCAGACCTTTCGGGTCATACTGGTGGGCAGGAATTGTTCCGAAACAATAGAGCCTTGCTAAACGACGGTCCAATGCGAAACCTGGTAATTAGCGATCAGAAAGTAACTAAAAACATCACGATTGGAAATACAAGAATGTTCCACTAATAGGTTTACATGAAGTAAACATAGAGATTTCGCACACAGCAGGTTTTTTATACACAAAATAATGTTGTTTACCGTCTCTGAAAGCCAAAACGGATGCAAGCGTAGTTAAATTCTATCTCGCACAAACGTAGCATGAAAGGTGCGACAATAGATTGAACAGAAAGACAATGTACTACGATACTACCGAGCTTTTGGCACCAGGGAGGGTTTAGCTATAGGTATGTGGACCGACCACTTCAAAAGGTGGCGAAGAACTTCGCTTCACTTTAGCAATTACGTTTTGTAACGTAGTTTACATGCTCAGGGTATGGAACCTGATCTAATGGTTCCCTCTGCTGGTAGAAGATATCTGAGTGTATCTTTGAGTGGATCCATCAAAAGTGAAAAGAAATCACTACACTCAGCAAGCTCATAGTTCATGAATGCAATGAGCATTAAAAGAGTGGGCCTTATCTCTGATAAGGCCAAAAAGGTTGAGGTGATAGGAGACTCAGCGAGGTCAAATCGCAACTGCAGTACGTCTTCTGATCGTCTGCTCATATCCTCAGGAAGATAGAAACGTTCATGAGTCAATAACCTGCGATCATCTTCAAAGGCCCGGTCAAAGGAAGCCTTCATCCACAGAAACTAGAAAGCAGAATCTTCATTTCACCGTCACTTAGTGGGGAAGGGAGCAGACTTCGTAAATCAAATCAGTTCAGAGCATTCAGGACTGGATCGACAAGGGAGGCAAATTCTCTCCCCATGAGGTCAGGATTTCGTGCAGTCGAGTGGACGAGTTGGCGCTTAAACAACACCGACGATTAAAGCAAGCACAAAACGCATTGCATTTGCTTCATTCGTTGCATCTGGCTTTGGCCCTCTGGGTCTCACTTTACTTCCCACCCATTTCTACAAGACCTTTGCGCTCGTCCTCGAGGACGCATGGGCACTTTACAGCAGTAGGTGGCGTTCTCTGCTCAGATAACCAGGGGCCTTCTCTGTGTTCCTTTTCAGCGTTCAGACCAGATGTCAGTATCAGATTCAGGGGATGAGAACCCACGGCTCAGTGAAAACAGGAGACAGAAGGAGCGAGTACAAAACGAGGGTAACAGTTAAAAATCTAAAAATACAATTCAATATACATGAAGGGCCTCGACGGCTCTTCGAGATGGGCATCCTCGCCGGTGCAGGTTATGACTACGATTCCTCTTCCGGGAGGTATCCTAATGATGGATAAAGCGGGGTGGATGGAGACTGGGCATTGCATTTGATCTTCTGTCCAGTGACAGTTTCGGCGGAGATTTGGATGTAGCCAAAAGAATCGATATCTACAATCACAACAATTTTCAGGCCATCCGGAGGAGCAGGGGGGAGGTCAGTGAGCTCATACACTCCAACCAGATTGTTGTCCGCAGCTCGTGGCTCCTCGCCCTCGTACACATTCAGCAGCACGCTCGTATGGGAATTCGTGTACGTGGTGAACTCCATGCGCTTAAGGGTGGGAATACAATTGTTCCGCTTGAGGATGGTAGTCATGGACCCTCCCCCGGTTTCGATCCCGATGGAATTGGCAACGACCTCCAGAGGCAGAATCTCCGCAAGCTGGGAGCCGCCCTTGTCGCCCAGAATGGCGGCGTACATGGCCGCCCCGAAGGCTACAGCTTCGTCAGGGTTCACATTCTTGCTCAGCTCCTTGCCCCCGAAGAACTCTTGCAGCAGCTGCTGGACTTTGGGGATGCGGGTGGACCCACCGACGAGGACGACGTCGTCGATGGCCTCGGGGGCGACCTTGGCGTCGAGCAAGCACCGGCGCACGGGCGCCAGGCACTGCTCGAACAAGTCGGCGCTGATCTCCTCGAATTGGGCGCGCGTGATGGGGCAGTAGAAGTCGATGCCGTCGAAGAGCGCGTCGATGTCGATGGTGGTGCGCGAAGTCATGGCCAGGCTGCGCTTGACCCTCTCGCAGGCCGTCTCGAGCTTGCGCAGGGCGCGCGCGTTCCCGCTCATGTCGCGCTTGTGCTGCTTCTTGAACTCGTCGGCGAAGTGGCGCACCAGGCGGCGGTCGAAATCGGCGCCCCCGAGATGCGAGTCCCCAGCCATGGCCTTCACCTCCAGAATGCCGCCCTCGACGAAGATCACCGCGACGCTGATCGTGCCGCCACCGAAGTCGAAGATCAGCACCTTGCGCTCGTCGCCTTCGCGGATCACCGACTCCTTATGGAGCACGAAGGCGAGCGCGGCCGCGCTCGGCTCGCTCACGACGCGCAGCACCTTGAGCCCGGCCAGCGCGCCGGCATTGGCCGTGGCCTGGCGCTGCGCCATGTTGAAGGTGGCCGGCACGGCCACGACGCACTCCGTCACGGGCGAGCGCAGGAACGCCTCGGCCGTGTCCTTCATCTTGCCCAGCAGCATGGCGCACACCTCCTCGGCGGAGAATTGGCGCTCCTCGCCATGCCAGCGCACGGTGATGCACGGCTGGTCGCGCGGCCCGGGGCTGACGCGGAAGGGCCACAGCAGAATGTCCGTCTGCACCGAGGCGTCCGAGAACCGGCGCCCCACGATGCGCTTCAGGTCGTAGACGGTGTTGGCAGCGTTCATGGGCGCCTGGTCGCGCGCCGCGTCGCCGATCAGCCGCTCCTCGTCGCGGAAGGCGACGCACGACGGCGTTTTCCTGTTGCCCTCCTCGTTCGGGATGATCTCGACCCAATCGTTCATGTACACGCCGGCGCACGTGAAGGTGGTGCCCAGGTCGATGCCCAATGGCGGAGGCGAGCCCTCGCCGGGCTCCCTCTCGCGGCTCTTGCTCTTGGGCTTCATCGAATTCGCCGGCTCGGGCTGATCGCCGTGCGCGAGCGGCGATCGGAGCTCTCGCCCTCCGCCCTCGACGCGCGCGAAGAAGAAGGACGTGCTGGTCTGGATCAGAGGCTGCTGCGCGAAGGCTCGGATGAAGCTGGGCTCGTAGGATACCGAAGGCATGGATGGAGGCCTTTCTGCTCACTCCTCGATCGCCACTGCGTCACCGCGCTCCGCCGTCGGGCGGCAAGAACATCGTCGCGCCCTGCTGCGATCGTCGAGGATGATCGTGGATCGCCCCGGCGGGCCGCCCAATTTCATCGCCTCGGAGATCTCTTCGTCCCTCAACCTCGACCTGAACGTGCTCCGGGAGCCAAACCCTCCCAAAGCCTTCATCAGCAGAAATTCATCAAACGCCGCGACCTCCTCCCTCAACCCTCCTGCTGCTTCCGCGAGACGGAACCAACTTGGCAACGGGACAAAAACGAACGAGACGGACGCGGCAAGCAAAAGCGGCAGCAGGTGAGAAAAGCAGCAAGCGGGGAAGAAAAGACGCAAGGACAAAAATCGCACGAGCTCACAGTACCGCCACTACACTCCGCTCTCACTCACGAACTCAAACGAAATGGCCATGCTCCGCTCGGCTTGTCCTCTCCTCGCGATGATTCTTCCGAGCTACTCTCTCTCGATCGTCCGGAGACTGCAGGTGCTTACGACGAGACCGGAGGTAGAAGAGCTCGAGACATGCGAGCCATGGGGCTGAGCACTCTCCTCAACTGCATACGGAGTGCAAGAGCACGCTCTCGCTGCTCTCCTTGTGTCCTGGGGCTGGCTCCCGAGGGGGTGGGGGGTAGGGCGGGGGGCGGGGGATCTTTCCGACGTGCAGATGCCAGGAGAGGAATTTTGGATGGTAAGGACGGGGGGAGGGTCAAGAAACGCTTTTGCGCAAGACCGCGGAGGCTAAGTTGGCACTTCCAGGCCATGAGCAGGGGCGCAGGGGCAGGGGCAGGAGGAGGCCCCACACTGGAGCGGGGGAGGGGTGGCGTCACACGGGCGACCGGTGCTGGAGCCGGTCGCCCGGACAGGGTCCGAGAGAGCGGGGCAGTATGGGCGGGCGGACGCCCGAGCGAGGTCGGGGTCAGCGGTCGTAGCTTCGAATTCCGGCACATCGTGAGGGGCTACGATTGTGCGCTATGCCATGGACCGAGACTTCCCTTTCTCTGTCGGTGCTTTTCGCTCCATCGCACTTGCCGTCTTTGCCTTCACTCTCGCTTCGGTGTCCTGAAAGAGACCGCTGGTGGAGGTGGAGCTGATGCTGACTGACAGACTCGTGAGCTGGACGCCCGCCAAGCGCCATTTATGGAGAGCGGATGTTAGTTGGTCTGTCCCGAGTCTGATCATGTGGCTGCTTCGTTCTCCCTCAGAATTCGATCACCAAGACGGGTCAGCCCTTCGTCCTTGAAACCGGGCAGCCCTGGTGAATGCTCCCTGGAAACTTGCTACGACATTCAGATTGGCTTCACATCCTATCGTGCAATGCATGAGCGACATTCGCCGTGTTGGATGTGCGTCGCTCTCCTCGGTGGCTGGGTACCGTGGGCTGTTGATGCAGATGCGAAATCAGTGTCGGTCCGTAGCGAGTTTTTGGCAGGCGGAGGGGATTTGTCGTCAGTCATTACCAACATTGGTCAGCGTTTGATTGCCGGTGGTGGTGATTTTCCAGAATCTTCGGGTCCGACAAAAACGAGCGGAAGACAAGAACTAAAGGCATCTAGGGGATTATACCTTGTTGTCACCTCCACTGCACAGGACTATCCCTCCGCTATATTTATTGCGCAGATGCCTTGTTGCTAATACTACTCGGTCGATCGGACTAGGAAGGCACAATGATCAGAAGCCGGTAGCCTTGTGCAGATGACCTTACATAGTTCGACGGCCTCTCTCGTTGCGACCTCCGCTGAGGTATATGCATCGGCCGCTGAGTATCGCCACCAGACAATGTTGCTCACATCCCTTAGGTACGCGAGTTTCGACAGTGACTATACTAATAGCCTCCACTAGAAGCTTTCCTTTTGCATCGGTGCCTTGAGCCAACCGGTCAAAAGTGCGTGAACCGACAAGACAACCACGATAGCACAAAACGGCTACTTCGGACTCCTTGCTGTGTTCGCCCATGTCTATTAGGCGTCGGCCATTCACTGTCCTATTGAATTAGTGGTGGACTCGAAGGATAAACTTAATTTAGAGCCGAGCGCGGAGATTGACACAAGCGAGAACTGAACCATGCTCTGCACAGGGCTAACCAGGCCTCTAAAAATTAGTCAAGAGCTTTTCCTTTCAAGCTACAGATTCGGACTTTGGTCGCGATATGATAAATAAATTACACGTACTGCGTTCAATCTTCGCATTCAATCATTCATTCCCGACACTACAATCTCATCTCCTCGGCATTTAGTGCTCATATTGCACTGCGAGGAGTTGAAGCCGTAGTGTTGGTAAATGGAGATCTCACATCATAATTAAGATAAAAGTTTACCAAAATACACGAAACTTGCCGTGGATCTGTGCGAAAACTTTCTGACATGCCAGAGACCCGAGGTGAACACTGCGTACGATATTACAGTGCAGTTTTCTCACACACTCCTGTGACAGTCCCGGAAGTAAATAATTCATAATCTTTGACTCGCATGGAGAGAAGGCCTTTTCACTTCGACTACAGTCGATGAATTGACTAATTACATAAATAGCGCACTTCCAGGTATCTACAAGTTCTAAACAACTGTCCTATGTAACGCAACATCTAAGGCCTTCCGAATTTTGGAGAGCCTTCCTCAGACTGGACATACAGAGTATGTTGTATCCTAGTTATCCTGTTAGATACCAGAATCAAGTCCAGACGAGTCGCGTCGAACTAAGCTAAGCTGAGTCGAGTCAAGTGAGACATCGCAACTCAAAGGATGAGCCTAGTCACGAAATCGAGCGGCGGCTCTCGAAAGTAGGGCAAAAACATTAGCTAATGTATCAGAGGGAACTATACCCACTATAATCCAGCTAGTCTTCTGATGCTTACGTTTGTTGTGTTTAGTAATCCTTCCACAGGGTCACCTACAGCTTCTCCTAGCCGCCAGCCAGAGGCTCTAATCACAAGCGGTAAGTAAGCCTGCTTCATGTCATGGGGACCTAGTCCACCCCTATACACAAACCCAAATCTAATAATCCAATTTCCAACGTCAACTTAACTCCTCAGCTGGAGTCTGTGCAAGAATGACCTGCCTGCTGCTAGGCTGGAGATCTCGACTGAACTAGAAGTTCTCTATTGTTGGTGGCATTGCTACAAATACGCTTTGGGTCATATTTTAAGTCCTACAAAACCGAACTCTGCGTCTCCTCCAGTTCAGGAATCGCTGACGGCAGTGTGACATGTGTCTCCTGTGCCGAGAGCTATCATCTCACAAACAGCGTGGTATCAGTGGACGCTGATTGATATCCAGCTGGAGCTCTCTTGTTTAGGAGTCGCAATGAAATGTACTCAGGATACCCAATTGCCTGCTGTGGCCCGACGACTGTGAGCTGTCACAGTCGTCACCCCCGAGGGACATCCAGTCGAGATGGAAGAGTCAATAAGAACACTCTCAGATGTTTTCCAAACAGTGACAACTACATAAAATAACTCAGCACTGCTTTCCTCCGAGAGCCTCCTTCCCCATAGAGCTCGTTCCACTGTAACAACTCTGTCATACTTGCGGCATCCGCTGAGACACTTGCACAGACCTGTTGCACAATAAGTTTTGTCAGCTCTCCGATGCTGAAACTTGAAAGTTGAGGTGTTTCCCAAATCTTGTAGACATCCGCTCTCGCTCTCGCTTATATATCCGTCATCACATAAACTACGACTCGGATTCTCGAACGGAGTTACTTATTGAATCCTTTTCTCTGAATGAGGACTGACAAAGTAGATATACACAAGGTGAAGATACTCCACATTTCGGGCCCTAATACTCTCTTGGTCCCGAAGCCGAAGGCCCGAAATGGCTTGATAATTTGAACACACGAAATTGAGAAGGAAGGACCAAAGACCGAATTACTATGATAACCGTTCTGCACCGGCATTTACCTGCTCGCATGCTTGACGCAGATCATCCATATTGAGAGCACGGATCGTCGGAGGGACGCCATCGCTGCCAGTTAGGGCAGGAAGAGCTCTGCCTTCTGCCTTGGCAACTTCTCTCTCCTGTATTAAAATAATCATAGTTTCCTTGGCTAAGTTTAACTTCGACTGGGTTAAACATCCGCTTGGATACAACTTCATTCAGATGACATGAATAACTCTGTTTATACACTAGCAAATATAAAAGAATGACCATTGTGTACCTGAAAACATCTACCTGTATACACTACAATGTACACAGCGAAAGTAATCAAACAACCTCATACCGAAAAAGAATTAGTATGTAAAGATAGATAGCCCGTTTCCATACCTCGGCAATCTACCAAACATATACTTGTGACTCACATACCTTTCTCTCGTTCTCAAGTATCTCCCGTATTGGCCGATAGGCTGCTGCCACGCATAAGTTCTAGAAGCCGTACAAACATTGACACCGAATCAATCATCCCGAACGAAGGTACAACATATGAATATTGAATTAACATAGGGTAAGCAAGTGCCAAAATTCGATATGGTATTGGTTCGATTAAATTCACCTTCAAGTCGCTGCCTGAATAACCGTCAGTCAATCCAGCTAGTTCGTCGAGATCCACTTCAACGGACAACTCTTCCTTCGCCAGGATAACCTTCAAGATCTTCACCCTGTTGGCTCCGTCTGGTAGATTCACCATCAACCTGTCACAGGGACGAAGAAGAGTCTAAGGTAAATTTGCAAAACTCTTATTAGTAACTAGATTATACCTCCAACAGAAAATCAGACTTCACAGCTTTCACACGTAAGGTCGACTACTTGCAAACACATGACTGGAACAGGCTGATGGAAAACCAGTCCCTATGTCGATCTGAACTGTACCTCCTTGGCAGCCTACGAACAACCGCCTCGTCTAAATCGAACGGACGATTGGTGGCTGCTAAAACGAGAACCCGTTCCCTGTCCTTAGTTCTCAATCCATCCCAATTCGCCATGAATTCGTTCTTTATCTTCCTCATAGCTTCGTGCTCTCCAGGTTTCTCCCTACGCCCTAACATACTATCAACCTGTGCGACCAATTCAGTGCAAGATCCAGTTCAACATCATTTGGAAAGTACCCAAAAAATGGGATCCATAAATTGTGACAAATTTGATTACTGTATGTGTGCAACCAACATTCACTATATTGTGTGAGAAGAAGGATCCTTCTATCAACCAGTGCATGGTAAAGCATCCAGGGCTGATTTAGCATGGGATTCTAATAAACCAATCATATTACTGCACATTCAAGGCTTAAGCAGTGGATCGAGAACGTACCTCATCTACAAAGACAACACTGGGGGAAATTTTGCTGGCCAATGTGAACACAGCTTTCACATACTTCTCTCCCTCACCAAACCACTGAGTGTCCAATTCTTTGCGTTAGTGGTAATCAAAACTGATCTAGGGGTACAGAATCTAGGAGATCTCAAGCAGATAGAAAACAATGAGAATTATATCTGGTAAAGTAATCGGCTTGACTTGAACAGAAGTAATTGAACTGACTGGGGATAACTGTCGTGAACCAATAGCTGTTCCTACATTAATCTACAAGTGCTAAAGCTGTCCATTTATGCAATGCAAAACCTTATGTTCTGATGCACCCTCACCTTGGACGCAATGCTGGACATTGATATGTTTATGAAATTGGCACCCGCTTCTGTCGCAACTGCCTTCGCTAGCATTGTCTTCCCAGTCCCCGGTGGACCAAAAAGCAAAATACCTTTACAGGGCTGCAAATACATCAAAGTATCAAACTATGAAATTGCGTACAGTAATCCGCGAGAGTCATTGGATAAAATCAGCTTACAACTTCAATCGACGTCAAAACAACAATTCAGCTTAATAGCTAGACCCGACAGTATAACTACTACGACGACAAATCAGATCCTTACCTTTGTGAGTTGTCCCTTGCAGAACAGTTCCGGTCTTTGTAGAGGAAGCATGACAAGTTCCTTCAACGTCTCTTTCACTGACTCCAAAGCTCCAATGTCATCGAACGTAACTCCAATTTCACTTGGTGGAATCACCTCTCCCAGTAGGCGCTTTTCGAATTCATTGTCCGTGACAACATCCTAGGAAAATTGTATAGAAGATACTTTGAGACGGTTTCTTGAGTTCCATCCATTTACAACCTCATAAAAACTCAGATAAGGTTTGAGATCTCTCTACTAATAAGTACCTTGAGAGACTTCTTCAAGCCAGAAGATTCGTGCTGGATTCCACGCAATATTCCCAATCCATGTAACATACTGTACTCAACAAAAGTCGGTTTGTCAGAAATGCGGGCATCAAGATTCGCTCATAACAGATGTAGCGGAAGGTGATCTGATGGCAAGGCAGGTAAAAAGTTTAAATGACCTGTCTGAAGACAACAAAAGCTTCTCGTTCTTCAATGTCGGCTCCGGGACGGTCATTAGTTGATGGCTAACTGCCCACCCTACTATTCGCTCAGCAGCTGCAAGACAACCACAAACTTATGAGATTCAGACAGACTTGAACAATAACTCAATAACTTCTCGGTTTGAAACTTGTTACAGAGTGGACGTACTCGTCAGCTCGCATACAGAACACACACTAAGCACCTCACCTCCCTTAAAGAAGAAAGCAATTATCCAATATATATGGCTTTCGTTACTAAATCCAAGAATTAGACGAGCCATATGGAACCAGTGAAGTTGGAAAAAAAATGATCACTCACATTCTGATGTCAACGACTGATCCTTAATGGCGACGGATTCCAACTCATCGCATTCCAAGTTGCTTCGAGAAAGCACCTGCAAAAGATACCATCACAACGTTAAAATACACCTTGGCACTTTAGGACCAGTAACAGAGGAAACGCATCCCCGTCTTCGCCTACAGGCACGCTTTCATGTAATGCCTGTCGATGTACCGTGACAGGATGAACCAAAGCACATGTGCGGAATAGACTACAGTTGCAAGAAAACTTACACAGCGAATATGGAGCCTATTCGATTTCGCTTTTAGTGTCTCAAGGTCTCTCTCCAATTGACGCTTCCATTCCGCAAGCACAACCTCATCCTGCCATTACACGAGGGAAAGTTTTCACAAACGACCCCACACTTGCGTAAAAATTCGAAAGGCAGAGTGCTGCGTACCGGAGCCTATGTTTTGCATGAGTTGAAAATACCTGTGGCGGCTGAATGTTCACTTTACTAGGAAACAACTTCGTCAGCATTTTAGATGCCTTCGGAGTTTCCTTACTTCGTTCATCTATTCGCGGAAAATTGTCCTGAAAATATAGACCGACAGATACAATTGGAAATAAGTGAGGCGAGGATCCTGACATGCACCAGGAACGACAGTAGTCTTGCGTCCGTCAACAATTGCCTAAAACTAAAGATGATCCCTGTTCCGAGGGAAAAAAAGTGTCGGCAAAAAATTCAACTGTATTACGTTGCTCCATATAAGTAAACAGACTCCACCACCATGTATTGCTAGGAGTCCATCATTAGACAGTGTAGCAAATAATCCCACAAACCGGATGTCGTCTTACCAGGAAGGAAAGGTCCAACAATGCAGTATGATTACTCCCAAATTTCGGCAATACCAGCCCACTAGGGTGAGACTGCAGATTAAAGCCAAAAAATAAAAGTTAGTGTCGGAGTAGTAAGCCGAGCGTTTGGAAGAAACAACATCAGCTGATACCTAGGGTGTACAGCACAGCGAGAACTATTGGTTGAGATTCTAAAATGGTTCGAAAGCGCAGCATTTGAGTTATGAAGCTCTTCCTTGCATTGTCGTCAATGTCAAAACAAGATGGTCATTCATGGAGTCCAATGCACTCCACAACAAACCTAGACACCGAGATACGACAATGATGTTTGGAAGATAACCAGCCGATAACCCTGAGAAACCTCAAATAAGACTCTAGATAGCGTCTCTAACGGTAAGAACATTTCAAAAAAAATTCCATGCATCAAGAATAGAGACGAACGACAGGACGCCATGAGAGCAAGCCAGAGACATGACCGATGATAAACCATTGCAGTGCAACAAAACCTTCACTCAATAACTCCGACCTGACTCTTGCGGACTTTCGTTCATATTTTGTCTTACTATGACAAAGGGGTCGAGACCAAAGGTGAAGGCGACTAAGCCTCATGGAGGACTGCCGAATGCATTAATATGGCAGCTTGCACAGACGATATAGATGTTGTCGTGCTTGTGATGATCGAGTTGAACAATATGACACCCGACTACATCAACCGATGGAATCCTCATGACGATGGTTGCATGGAAGTAATCCGGGTAATGCATTGGGTGACCACAAGGAAGCGAGACAAGACTCAGATCATCACACAGCTGACCGAAATTTAAAGTAGAACAAGCTCGGATCCAGCTCCTGCTAAGAAAAGTCCCCATAAATCGGTCGGATACAGATGCAGTTTAAATGGTCGGCCTCCAACCACAGAGGATTCAGATAAGAAGGCATTTGGGGATAAATAGTAAGAAATTACCTTTTCCTTTCTACTGTCTGACACGGAATGAGAGCCAATAACGACCACACTACCCTCCAGCTTTTCCAACTTCTTCTTCACCGCTGCATAACGCTCAAAATTTCCGAGAATAGACTTCTCGACCTCTCTTATGAAAAGTATAAAAGGACTTTTCTTACTCTCTGACGATAAAACCTGGATAATGAGGACAGAAAAGTGAGTACCAAGTACAACAGATGTAAATAAAGCGCAAACTTGACATACTAACTTCCACTGCAAACATTTCAATTATGTATCTTTATACCTCAAATAGTGCATCAATCATAAGTTTCTCAGTATCTTCTCCAGGTGCACCTTCTAATCGTAAATCAGCAACTGCATGAGCCACAATAGAAAATTAAAACTTTCACCATAAAGTACGCATGAATTTCTACAAAACCCTTCGGTGACAAGCTTACTCATAGGCGCAAGTTTTAACAATTCAACCACCTATTTCCTTTAGGGTACTAAGTAATCAAAATTGCAGGCTGAGAGCCATCAGAAACTTACCATTACAGAAAAACCCATGATTGTCCTCACACAAGTTACCCAAGTTGTTGCCCCCAGGTATAGGCTTGTCAAATCTCACACCGACCTTTCGCGGGTTTTCCTCGAATACCAAAACCACTTTCCCTCGACAGCCCACAAACGGACCTCTGCCATGTGAAACCGGACAGACCAAACCACAGATAAAAGATCAGCACTAAAAGACACGCTCTTAAAAACTCAAATTCACTGGACCGGACAGCAATTTCAGTACATTAGGAACACTAGTTCCTTTACTTGAGTGACTGCTGGATAACTTCAAGACTGTATCGCGTCAACCAACAGCCTCACCTCAAAGATGTCGGATCCATCTTTTTTGAAACATCCAACCCTTGTAAGCTGTCTCCAATAACATGACAGGAGCAGCCACAGTCCAACGTTAAGAAATAGGGCTAAGCGGAAGGATCCCGAAGAAGCCGTGACAGCATACATGAGAACTATTTACGCGGAGTTTATCAACAGAAAGTTTCTATAAGACCCACTTTTGCATATGTTAGCCACATATGAAATATGAAATATCGGACTACAGAAGTCTGCTACAAGCTGGTAGAGAGGTGGAAAATATTTTGTCCGCAGAAGGGCAATTCAGCTTGCACACAGTGAAGGTACAGCAACCCTTTCCTGGTTAACTGCCAGAATCTTGCTGGGTGCAAACGTAGGAAACTTTCGAAAGAAGCTCGACGCAAGAAGACAACTAAAATGACTGGTTATTGTTCGAACTACGATTGCACCAGTACTAACACGTAATCTAATCTACTAACACGTTTTCTGTTGTTCACTTTCAAGAGCGTTCGTTTCAAGAGCGTCCCCAAGTGAACAACAGAAAACGCATAAGAGAGCATTGTATAAAAAAGACAAAACCAGAAAAAAATGTGATCTAGACTTTGTAAACATCATTTAGAACTATGAAACATCGGGTACAAACTGCAACGATATCGATGTTCAAACCGATCAATTCGTGAACAATTCTCCATTGCTAAACCAGGCACGAAATTAGAAGCCTTACGTGTGAGTCCTATAGAAGACCTACCGGTAAGTTGGAAGCTCAAAGCAACATCTTCGAAAGATGATCAACAAACATTATGATATACTTTCCAGATTTTTAAATAAGACAGACCACTTCAAAACTTGACGTACACCGCTCTTTCGATTCCCCATATTAGCGGTTTAAAAAATATTCAATCGCAACTGAATGCGTCTGAAGGTGGTCACCACTTTCGAGACCCAGTCGTCGTGCGCAAATGCTTCAACATGATTATTAACCTCATGAAGCCTTATCAAAATCTGGCGTGCCGAAGAATCAGGTGAATTTTTCGGTACTTGGTAGATTACAGGATGAATCTGCACAAGTAAAACATCTAGACAAGGGTGATCAAAGTAAAAATCGTTAACACACCTGCAAAAGTATCCGTGAAGAGATGAAGCTAGAGCTCCAGATGCATTCGAAGGACCGATGAATTTCACACGATCACCTGCACGAAAGGCAACCGTCAAAGAACAGTGTAAGATTAATATCGTGAAAGTTCAAACTCTAAACTAATTGTGCAGTTTTCAACGTGAAAAGAAACAAATTACTCCCAAGCTGAAGGTAGACCCACCTTTCTTTAGTAAACGCTTAACTGACGTGGATGCTGAACCTCCCGGAGTGCCTGTTGGCTGCAACAGAGACGCCTGTTGAGGAGCAGCGCTGGCAGATCGAGTGCAATCTGACGCATCCCCAGGCACCGCTAAGGAAGGTACACCTTTCACGGGCGATGCCCTGGACTCTAGATAGTCGTTGGGTGGAAGATCTTCAGGGAAACTGTCAGCTTGTATCTCCACAGCCGTGGGTAACCAGCTCTGATTGAAAGCAGTACATATTTAGGGATGATGGCAGTAAAAGTGAACTATGCATCTCACTCACATCAGCAAGGTCAACAAAGGGCAAAATTAAGTTTCTAAGCCAGGGCGAAACCGAATATAAGTTGAGGTTGTGGTCGAAAAGTCGTGAGTACGATTACTAAGGCTAAGTAACGAAATTAGAATAATCTTAAATTGGTCCTGTAAGTTTGAACGCTTTCGTAATTGGAATATAGGATCCCGAAGAGTAAGCAAAAAATAAAAGAGAAAACCTGAACACGTTAAAACACTTCAGAAACACACCAGATCATCGTTCCCATCTAAAGTCTTGTCTTGAAGCTTCAAAGCCTCCGCGGGAAGTCGTTTTGACACAGCATTCTCTGTTTGAGCCTGTCAGGAAAGCAACAGAATAAAAAACACAGTAAATAAGTTTTCGGCCCAAAAAAGTACTGGCTTGATGTGAAATCTTAGTTGTCCCAAGAACGAGCTCAGTAAATATTTCTTACCTCATTGGGCATCGAGCTGCTATCGAAGATGAGCAACTTCGCCTCGTAGTGATAAGCAAGAGCTTTAACCAAAGTTTCTTGATAGATCTCTGATCCTTCATATAAAACGAAGAACACAACAGTCAATTTTCAGGTCAAACAGACTAAAAAGATAAATTTCCAAAGCCCAAAGAAACAGATATTAAGTGCTAAGCTATTTACACGCCGTTGAGTAGGTAGTAGACCTGAGGGGCCTGTCAGCAGAATTCGAGGACTTATAGCTGGCAGCTCTGCGGCATACTTCGCGTAATTAGACCGCTTCAAATGGACAAACGTTGATGTGACTAGAAGTGACTTCGTACTTTCACTGCAATGCAAGTACACATACGTTCAGGAGACCACTTCGAAAGGCCCAATTCAACAAACAGTCACCAAAAACATGGTCAGCATAATGTACAGAATAAAACTGGCATGCATATGAATAAAGGATATTCCGATCACAGGCTTGAAAAGGTCATGTATTCGTATCGTACTATAATCCACCAATATCCGTGGCGTTGTTTTGAGTTCGTTGGCGAATTATTTGAGACAGAATGTGCGTGCGTACCTCAAGTAGTAGGGAAACTCTTCAAAAGACACTTCAGTATCGCGACCCTCAACGATTCCTCTCAAAAACTCGTCTTTCAAAGCTTGGCGTTTCCCTGCAATCGCAGCAGCTAAAGCTGCATCAAAGTCCTTGTCTGTTTCTTTCTTGTCACTAGCACCACCGGGAGGTAATCCATCTGCACCTCCCCCATTGCAAGCAACAACTGACACAATAGCAGGATGGACAGGTTCTCCCAGAGGACAAAATCCAGCCTTTTCTGCGGCAAAATCTTGGGCTTCTGTGAGGTGATCTGCGGGTACTGACATGTCCACTTCAGTGGAACTCTCCCGAACCACTATTTCTACTGAACTACTAGGCCCCACTTTACCCGAAGCCAGGGAAGAGTAAAACCTACAACCCCCCCTCGTCGGTTGGTTTTGTGACGGCTTCCCGCTTGTGTTAGAATCCAACATAAGAACATCAGAGGCATCGGGCATTAAAGGAGAAGCGGCAGCATTCGGACCGCGACCTTCGGCTTCTTCAGCCGAGCCCGGTATGTCAGATAGTGCAAGTACACTGGGAGACTTCTGCCTCATACCCACGGATAGAGCCATGTTAGAAATAGCAGTGTCGTCAGGAAAGATCGCATCGGCAGCGGCGGCGATAGCTCGGGCATTGCATCTGTCCGTGTAGGCCGCAGCTGCAGTTTGAAGAGCAGATGAAGCAGCTGTTTGTTGAACTGTTGGACATTGCTGGAAAATCTGGATTGTGATGTAAGGCTCCAAACTTGCAATAACATTCCCGCATAGTATACAAGATCGCACTACATATTTAAAAGAAAGAAATTAGAACATTTGTAGTAATTTGAAGTAAGGGTGGGAATTGGATACGAATGAGTAGTGTTTGGCAGAAACGAAGACCAGCTCATCACCACCTTTTAAAGTAATGATGGTATTCTTCTTCAGGGTTTTCCCATTGACCTGCACTACGCCATTGCTCCCTGTACTTTCCAGAAGAACGCTGACAGCTCCTCCGTCGTGCTGTCAAAACAAGAGACAAAACAAAAGCAAAACCATCAAAACGGTTGTTTTCATCTGCAAGCTGCTGTTCACCAGTGTTGATAAGTTCTTATTTTGAGATTCACATGCTGAGCCATGTAAAACGTGCTCACCTGAGAATATTTGAGTCTGCAGAGAGTTGCACTGATGCTTTGATCTTTGAGTTGCAACATGCAACTTCTGCTGCGCCCAATTGTGAACGTACAGCCGGTAAGAGGAACGTGAGGGTGCTGCGCATAGTAATGGTCAAATGTCACGATTCCGAAGAGTTCTGTCCTTACTGTCATGTTTCTTCTGATACTCGTTTTACCATGCATTAGTGACTTAAAAGGCATTTCAATCCCACCACATCAAGATGTTCGGCAAACGAGCCTGCGGTCCGAAGCCTATTTATGTATCACTAATGAGCTCAGTGACCAATGAGCGACACCGCATGCTGCAAAGGTAGAAGGCTTCAGAGGTATTGCCATCTCACGAAGTAAATCCGTAAAAGTATGTCGGTGACAATATCATTTTCGAGCCAGAAACTCGTCAATGCAAAAGGATGTAGTGCATAACAATAATTCTGTGATGAATGCGGGAAAGTGGACTTTCTAAAACAAACTGTCTGAGTGGCGTCTAGTATGATGAACTTCAAACAAGGACGAAGACCACTTATCTCGTGCGTCTACCCCAACAGATGCACACAACACTGCGATTTAGCAGCACACAACGCGACAAGAACAGATAGATGTGACTCGAGCTATTCTCAATTAAAACACTCCTAAAATCTTACGAACAATCTCTCGGTAAAGATACAAGTGAAGCTTTCTGCAGTGAAGGATGCATGGATAGCGAGCAAACAACAAAAGCCACAAAGGAATCGATCATTGTGAACCAGGAGCTAGAACAGACCTGATAGATACAGATTAACACATATTTCAGATTTTACAAGATGTACACCTTCAACGCATCACTATCTCGGCGAAGTGACGACACATTTCACTTGAAGAAGTTGTGCGTTTGACATTGCTTTCAATAAAATCACAGAGTTCCGTCTGGATCATCCACCGCAAAAACCGAAAAAGTGAATAACTCATTTCCTAGACGATAAATACCTGTGAATACTGAGATATAAGCTTGCCCCACGGTTGCATTGATGAAATTGCCTGCTTTTGTATTTTCAGAAGCACGGCCAGTGTTCCTTTCCCTTTGATTGGGTCATACACCGATTCTGCACAAACTGCCCAACTTGAATTAGCTGCCCAGTTTCGGTCACTTGGAAACTCTAACTGGATACCTCCATCGACATACAAGTACGATTTCAATTCCTCGACTATATCGATAGTAGGTCAATGACAGAGAGGTAGAGCTAGTGGACAGCGTGTCCAGTCTTCGCAGAAACTGCTCCTGGCAGGCCGATATCCCCCGCCTCAATTTAGCTTCCTCAATTTCGACCTCAAGACAGTAGTAATCCAAGATACTTACGAACGGTAATTGGTGGCAGCCAGTTGAGTGCACACATGTTCGTTACTGTTCCCGGCAGGCCACTAGACCGACTCGATTAGAACCCTTCGCCAATTTCGACCAGAAACAAATTCTGCCACTTATATACGATAAGGGCCACCTCCAGACAAGTGCTGGTACGTAAGTCCGAACCCTCAGTCAAGGCGAGCAGTATCACCGTCTATTGACTTCGTTTCTCAAATTTTAGGCAATCCGGTCATCGAAACAGTAATAGATTTGCGGCACTTACTGGCAGGGGGAGGTGTCTGGACTTCGTTGTTATCGATATCGGCGGGCGATGTGGTTGAAGGCTCTGCAGGAGGAGAGTTGGCGACATTCTCTGGCGGAGACGTCACTGCCGCCGGCTCTGCGGCAGTGGAGGGGGCTTCTGCATCAGCCTGTTCAGAACCCGCTGCAGCCGCCTGCAAGGGGCAACATGCCTGCTGTGAGCAACCAGTTGCACCACCGTTTCCATACACCAATGCCTCTACCAAGAAAACTGAAGAATCGAATTTCCTCTCTGCTACAATTCAAAGCGAAGATCGATCTTCTTACTTTGCGCCGCTTGTTTGATGGCGCAGGTGTTCCCGCAGAGCTGGAGGTCGCCGGACGCTTTGCAGCGCCACGGCGAGTAGAAACCATTGCCTGGTGTGCCCTCGACACCTAAGATCTCACTTCTTTCAGTCTTGTTTCCGAGCTTCCCGGCACCCTGATCCACAACCAATCCTTCAACCAGCACAATGCTCCAAGTCTACAACCTTCAGCTAATACCTACCTGTCACCTGGAACCTCTCTCAGGCCCTCGACCGCGACCCCGACCGAATCCGTCCTCTTCCCACCTACTCTCTGAATCCTAAATTTTCCTTGCCTTCCCGTCACTGTCCTTTCCTCTGGTGTCCGCCCTTAATCCTCCGCTCGCTCGCTCCTCCTTCACGACGATCGACGAGATTGAGACCAATTGCCAACGTGGAAATCCGATTCCCGCACCGTTCTTCCTCGACGACTCCCCCGGCCCACAGTCCAGGCTCCTGACAGCGTGCGAACTCGATTTGCAGAGCGCTCGCACGACCCGAAGAAGGAAGAAGGAACAGAGAGAGAGGAGACAGCAAATAAATACGACTGGGCTGGCGAGCAGAAACAACGACAACGACAGCAGCAGCAGCAGCACGGTCCGCGGTCGCCTCTCCGCTATCCGATGTAGCTCCTCCACCCGATCTTGTCTCGACTGGCGAGCACTTGCCGCAAGTATGAGTGCTCCACTCTCATGCTCTTCTTTCTGCCATCTCCCTTCCCCTTCCCTTGCCCCTTCCCCGCTCCCCTTCCCCCCTCTCTCGCTCGTCCGTCGTCACCTCTTCCTTCCTTCCGCCTGTGCCTCCCGAAGCGCCTCGCGGCCTCCCCTCCGCTCCTGCTGCTGCTCCTTCCTCCTTACTCCCTCCCTCGGCAGCGTCTCTGGGTCTGCCTCGCTGCCCGCCCTCTAAACCTCCGACCTCCTCCCTCTCCCCCTTCCCTTCTCCTCGGTCACCCGACCGCCTGTCCTCGCCTCCGCTCCGCTCCGCTGACCTCGCCACGCCCGGCCTGAACGTTCACTGCTCTGTCGGTCACCTCTCCTGACCTTGCGTGATTGGGCTCGGTTTGGGGGCTCGCCTTCCCCCTTTGCCTTCGACCGCTTTGGACTGAGCCCAGAGCCCCACCACCACCACCTCCTCCTCCTCCCCCTCCTCCTCCTGCTTCGCGTCCTTGCCTTCTTTTCCACCCGGGCCTACGATTTTCTCAGACCTCGTCCTTTCTTTGTAAGCTGACCGGTATTGCCCCGAGGCCTCGCCTCCGTCTTCGTCGCCTTGCGCTGCCTCTATCATCGAGTGTATACTGGAGGCGCATTGAATGGATGCCTTCATAGCTTGCTCATTCGCTATCCGTGCATGCATGCCATACTTTTCTACATACACACGTCGTATCATTCTCCGCATCTTTCTTTATTTATCGGCAAATTATAGTCTCTCATGTGAGTGTACTTGCGACATGATTATTATTTTCCGTTTCTTCCTGAATTTCGTAGATCTGATACAGTTCACTCCAGATGAGGCGGCATTACAAGCCGATATGCCCAACGGAGTGTGGCATACGTCTCTTAAATACTGAACTACCCTTGTGACTCTTTCGTTTACTCCTCAACCAGAAAAATCTGTCCCATACAGTCTTTGGCCGTTTTGAATAAATCTCTTTTGGACTCTTTTACCTTCTTCTGGGGGATTTTCCTCCCTCTTGAAATTCTAGAAATCATATGCACTATGTGTACTTCTGACACTATTATTATTTTTCTGTTTATTCCTGGATTTTTTAGATCTGATACAGTTCACTCCCGATGATTCAGAATTATTTGAGAAAGTGGTATGACACATCGATCATAACATCAGCCCTGTCCTTATCACGATAAGCCCAGTCGTGTTTTGCGTATATCTATTAAATAGAGAAGTTCCGTATTCACTCTTTCCTTTACTCCTCAACAACGATATGTCCAGTCCAGCCTTAATTAAGTGTGTACAATCATCTCTTCCGGGCTTTTTTAGCCCTACCTGTTTCCTATCTATTTTTAAACGAAGCCTTTGATAAAGACATCTTTGTTTTGATTTCCCACTAAGCGTTAGCAATTTGTTTTCTGAAATGGAAACAAATTTTGGTATTCAACAATTAGACTTAGTGTACCGCATTTAACCATGGCATCCATCACATCTGCATGTAGAATTAGCTATTATAAATAAATCATTGAGTGACTTGCAGAAAGAGTTTGATATATTTAATATCGGGTCTACAATACTCCTGATTTTCGAAATGTAGTGATAATAGGTTACTGATTCCTTGCGGAAAGTGTTATTTCTCTGTTCACTTAAACCCAACGAAATGAATATTTATGTTGCTGAGCCCATAATCCTTACACGCCACGGCTTATGTGAGAGAACCAGAAACGGTTCATCCTGAAAAATAAATATTTGTGTCTAGATTAATGTCATATTCTATGTCCAATATGTTGGTATTATTTATAATTTGAGAATTTTATGATTCTCAAATATTTTTTCAAGTGATTTTTTAAGCTTATTATTAAGTATAAAGAGAAGCTAAAGTAACATTTCAAATATGCGGTGCATCTACAAACATGCAGTTTTTGATATCATCGCCACCCCAAAGAAAAATCGTAGATAAATCAGATGCGAAGCACAGTGTCGCCAATTTTTCATGTCTCTATCAATCTCGTCGGTTCAAATATTCAAAAACCCGATGAAGGAATAAAGATCATTATATTTTCTGGTACGAAATCCATCAGCATAGATAGACGATCGCATCATCGCACTCTGACCGACTCTCTGAAAAGAGAATCCAAGAATCAAAACGCCGAACGTGATGATCTGTGTCTGGGCTAAGAAATCCAACGACATCTCTGTAAGGATTTTGAAGATTTTTGGAGTTTTTAATATATTCCCTCGTGACCGATCGAATTTATTACGATAAATATCATCAGAGAAAGCTTGAAAATCACCGTAGCAAATTAGGGGAGGACAGTCTTCGGTATGATCTATGCAAAAGGACGTATATATATCAAGTACCAAGATAGTGTACTGCCCAAAGGAAAGCTATGCTCGGAGCTGAGCAAGCATGTGGAGAGGTTAGGTGACAAACAGTAAGGAGTCCAAATCCAGCGAGTAAAGTCAAACTCAAGCACACAATTTAGAGGGTGGCTAAAGGATAAAATTGACACTCAAGAATGGGATGGCGTGAGATATTATTTCCTTCCCATACAATATGATCAAAATGGAACGAACATCATGACACGAAGCGTCGATGAGAAGGGTGTGTGTTGGTTGGTTCGTGGGCTGGGTGGCTGTCTGGCTGGCCTGGTCACTTTGACTGATATAGCTTGAATGTACATACAGGCGAAAGAGGAAAACCCGTCACAATAAGCGACCGATAATCGAATCGAAGGCCAGTCTTCGCAAGCAGAACGGAAAGGTGGGACGATCATGATCATGATCAGCAGACCACGAGCTCTTGCATCCATCAGAAGCGTTATGCATGCGAGAATATGCCAGCAGCGGTGGAACTGAGCAATTGCTGAGAAGACGAGAAGCTATGAGTCGCTTTCAGCCCTCCTCGCCATCCAGTACCGGCATGCTCGGCTCGCACTGGTCGCAATAAACTAGAATTCCAACCCGTACGCTTGCCATTCAATACGAACTGTCTATTCAGCCCTGTCTCACTTCATATGCGCCACGCCTCGTTCGAGTTCAGGTTGGGTCAAAAGGGAACGCGTTCCTAAATCCTATCTGCTATCATTAAGTAGATTCCCAGCAAAGCAAGCTTCTGCTATCTTTCCCTTCTCCCAAACTGGTGACCTCCAACCTCCATGCGTCCGTCCTCTCATTGACCAGACCGGGAGACTTTGATAAGAGTGAGACTGCTGTGGGTAGGCGGACCAGCTAATTTTCGAGAAGGGAAGGGAAGAGGAGAGAAGAGAGGAGAGGCTCATTGGAGGACAATGGGAGGGAATAAGGATAATTTCAAGAGACAAGGCGTCGAGGTTGAGATCGAGATCGAGGAGGAAGCGTGGGAGAAGATATAATCTTTGAGGAGTATAAAATATTTCCGAAATGGAAGCACATCTGATCGAGCAGAGCGAAATCGAAAAACGCAATGCGTACATGTAGTGGATGCATCACAGAAACGTGTGAAACAGTTGGCGAATTGCGATGTGGAGGTACGCCTCGTTCACATCGGCCGACGATTGTTGCTCATTGATTGGAACGAAGTGGCCAAAGCGGACCGCTAAATCGTTGCAACGAATTCCGACTCGCAAGTCTTCGAGTGACTGCGCCAGCGGCATTCAATGCACCCGGAGCCGCCAACTTGGCCCCGTTAGCGGCCGCACCCTGTTTCGTCACCAAGTCAGGCGGTGGACGAAAACCACCAACTTTGGCCTCCCGCCAGATCGCCTGCTAATCCGAGCCCTCCCTTCTCCAGATTCATCGCCGCGAAATGCACATCTGGCCCTCCTGCTCTATTTTAGCCGGTGAGTTGTTCCAACAGCATTTGACAGGACGAAGGGATTAGCCCTAAACAATTGCCAATGGAAGGGTTTTACGTGTTATAGCAGGTTGCTTGCGACTGGGTGGCCTGACCCTGTACCACTATCCGTCAAGGTACGAGGAACATTTTCCGTTATGGTTACAATCCGTGCGTCTTGTCCAGGAAGCCTTCTGTTCTCTGTTTTCTTCACCTACTCCCGGAGATGGAAGCATCCGACGGACTTTGCGGGGTCAATTCCCGGTTCCCGCACTGTATGAGTGTGGTTTACGTGAATTTGCCTTTTCTTCGAATACGCGGTCAATAATATCTCCGTCACCTTATAAGGGCTGTACTACCAACCCAAAGATTTAAAGATTCTATTTGATTCGATTCGTTCATTCAATTTATGCTTCAAATTCACACATTTCTAGCGACTCCAGTAATGCTCGTCCAGTAATTGAAGGTGCCCCCAGGTTTGTACCTTGAACCCTAAACCTGACCCCCCCCGTTCTGCGCATAAATTCACTAATCATGCTCGGATTCTCGGAATTGTTCAGAGGAAGCATAAAATAAAATATAACGAGGGCGTAATATTCATGCCGCAGACATGGTTCCTGCATATAGACTGGAAAGCTCTGGTTCCCAAACTGAAAGTGACCATCGTAATGATGATTTATATAGTGCAAGCTCTGTGTTTTTTTTCCGTGCGCGAAGGGTGGTGATGAGTCTCGTCCCAAGATACGGCTCCAAAATACCTTATTAAAATATAATACATTCACTTTCAAGAGCACGAAGTGCTCACAAAAGTGAACTTCAGTCTCCCTTTCGATATGTAGACATTCTTTTTCTTAACTCCTCAAAAGAGCTGAAATTTGAGCGAGTTGATATTTCCTTCTCAAAGTGTCCAAACTAATAATGATAATAATAATGCTAGCTAACGCTACGATTATAACATGTCATCTTATTATTCATGTGATTTTCGTAAAAGATGAATGAAGAAAGTGAAGATTTAGAACTTAATCTTTTGCAAATTGGGAAGGAACTTCTATGAAAAGAATGCTGTGGCAATATGATTGAACGGCACCGCCCTTGTCCTCTTGAATCGATTTGAATATCTGGCGGTTCACACTTGAAGTGTAGGTAATGTAGGCGGTACAAAGAACGACGAGCTCTATCTGATACGGCGTACGGTAGTATCTGTAGCGACAACGATAAGAGAATATATATGGTAATGGAGTTAACAGAGCGGGGGTGAACGGGAAGAAGACCGGTTGCCATGTCCAGCTACCACCGACGACGGTACGAAATGGCCGAAGAGAAATCAAACGCGCGTGGAGGCTTTGGAGAGCGTGAGGGCGACCGGCAGTCCACCGTCGGCATGACCTCGCCGCTTTTCTACACCCACCGGGACGCAAAGAGGACTGACGCCGGCACGGGGGAAAGCGAGGGACGAGGAGGAGGGAAGAGGCGGACGAGGTACGCAGTCAGAAGCGTCGCGGCTCGCCGTGGTAAGTCTATCGGACGAGGTCAGGGCTCCGGTAGGGGGCAGGTGACTCGGATCCAAAACCTTCGCTGGCATGTGGTCCAGCCGGGCGTAAAATGATAAGAACGCCTTCATGTCCGTTGCGGCCTGTGTGAACGGACCGCCTGTCGAATTACCTCTCCCCGTTTCCCGTTGCTCCGTCTCCGTGACACCGATCCCTACGTTGACGGTTGACCACGGGCATGTCCCAGGGATTTCCCCCCTCCGTCATGCCCATCCCATCCCCTCCCATGCCATGGATGGCATCATTGCATCAGTCCTTCGCATTCAAAGTGCGCGGGAGAGCGACGACGACATCGGTTTGAGCGGTGCTTATTAGACGTTAGCTCGGCCCCCGGTCGTTTGGATGAGTGCAGACGGTGCGGGGCGGCGCAGGGCAGGGCGGGGAAGCTCGGAGAGCGATCGGGGTTGGAGGGCGGAAGCGGAACTCGGGTCACGTCGATGCGAAGTTTGTCAGGGGCGTGAAGCTTGTGAGTTCCTGAAGGAGTGAGGGAGCTGCTGCCGAGAGGAGGGGGAAATTTTGGCGCGGAGTGGAGATTTGTTCTAGGAAGTGGTCGTCGGATGGAAATTTAGCGCGGCGATTGGGACAGAAGCCGGCGGAGGGGGCCAATTGGAAGCGGTGGAATCACGGCACTGCAGCCAGTCGCTTTCCTTGTGCTCGTCACGCCGCAGCGTCGCAGAAGTGAAGACGATCCATCGAACGAAACCTTGAATCGACCGCTGCCGGCGATTCTGGCGGGCGTGCGATCGGCGGCGAATTAAAGTCAGTCGAGCTGCTCGAATGCGATGGGTTGGTGACAGGTTCGTATTTATCCGCATCGCTCGGTCCTTGACGGAGACGAGCAAGAACGGTGGTTGCATTCGATTCGGAGAGATTTATTACAGGCAGTCACATCAGCATTGAGTTCACGTACGGGCAGGCGCAGAGAATTTGGTCACGGGTCAACTGCCGCGCTCATCAATGGACAGGTGGGAGGTATAGGGAGAGTGTTCCGGGTCTGGCGATGGGGTCGGACGCGGACAGCGAGCGTGGAGGGAGAGGAAGTGCGTGTTGGCGAAGTTTGTGAAGCCGTTGGCGCGTCGTTTTGAGCGTTGGCAAATTCGAATCGAGCGAGAGCGAGAGCAAAACTCGCTCTCTTGGCCGAAACTGTGCGTTCGAGCGAGCAGCGAGCGCGAACCATGGCGACGAACGGGCCAGAGACGAACAGCTTACCGACAGGATGTTTCAAATGCGGAAGACCTGGTCATTGGTCACGCGACTGTCCAGCGAGGGCCGCAGGCGCGGGTGGCGATTCTACTATTCAAGGTGGATCAGCAGCAAGGGCAGGGGAGAACGGAGCGATCGGAGGGGCCGAGCGGTTTGTAGCCAAGAGCTCGCAGAAAGCGAAAGGATCAAAGGCACCGGTATCCGAGGAAGCCACGGCCAAGGTGCCCCGGAAGAGACCCACGTTGACTGCTGACCTGCTTCTTTCGGACAACGGGCTCGGGTTCTTGTTAGAAAAAATGCCGCAGATTGTCAGGATTCGAGGAGAAGGGCACGAGGTGAGAGCTTCCGTCATGCGTCGTGTCGTTGCAGCGGCTGCTGCCTCTTACCTGCTCGTACATTCTTGAAGCAGGTGTCCATAAACCTTGTGTAAGAATTTACACTTCTCGAAATTCCCGTGTGTGTCACATTCTGTGTGCGCACCTCGGAGGATGTACACTGGGTCCAGGGGAGAATCTTTGTAATTAATTCTAATGTTTGATACGATCGGAAAGCGCAGGTGCACGATTTGAAAAGTTTGCTGGAGGGCTACGTGCATTGGCATTCCCAGCTGCACCCTTATCTGGGATTCAGTGACTTCGTGGCAAAAGTAGAGAAGCTGGGAGCGCTTAGACGAGTCCGTGTATGTGTCCTTCAGCTCACACCTTGACCTCGCACATCATTTTTAGCCACAATTGACTCGAATTCTGAACGGAACATGGGCTTCTTTCTAGATTTGGTTCACCACAGAGCACGTGAAGACGCTTTTCCACTTCTTAAAATTATGATGCCAGTATGCATGAGGTACTTGTGATTGCAAGCTCAATAAGCTCGCACTGAAACTGAACAAAATTTAACAAATTTACCAATTTACCGGCTTTCCCATTGCATACGGTATGCACTGAATCAATGCAAGCGGAGAGAAGTTTAGAGTTTTGTCGCCTGATCCTGGGATTGCGTGTTTGACTTTACTTTTATCGAGTTTATGATACCTTACGAGTGGCCGAGGAGTGTGTTAACGTGCAATCACTTGCGGAAACAGAATCACCGATTTCCACGTCCATCTGTGCTCACGCTCCTTTGTGTAATGGATGTGGATGTTTAGATGTGCGTGAGGGAACTACGAGACAAAATCACCAGCGGGAGCCCACTGGACGTCAATAAGGAGGTCGATCTTGAAAATATTCCCAATGACGCCGCCCCAGGTCTCTCAGTGAGACCTACCACAGGTCGGTAATCTTATCAAAGAGTCCCTCTCGGGTTGGTAGAGGATATTTAATGTACAGGGTGACCATGCGATCTTTTGAGTCATTGCTGGAAGTGAAATCTGTTCTCGATCAAAGAGAATGTGTTATCGCGTTGTGGTAATTCTGCAATTCAGAAGTAGCCAGGCACGAATGAAAGCACAATTTACCGGTCAATTACCTGTCGTCAGTCTTGCATCATCGCATTCTCGACTTGTGGTGATTCTAAGAACGAGATCTTGCAACTTGAATAATTTTAATTTATTTTCGAGTTTTCAGGAGATGCTGGAATAGAGACCGAAGATTGGCTGGGCGATTTTAACGAAGTTGACGAAATCGACGCTACCACCGATCCTGGAATGCCCGTGAACGAGGATGAGTTCGAAGATTTCTTCCGGCAGGGTACAACGCAGGTTCTCCTCTTTACCTGAGCTCAGGAACTTCTACCAACAATTTGGGCCAGGAATATTGCCTTGTACTTTTTACATGGTTTTCCTCAACCGTCCGAGTGTAGTCTGGTTGTGTTTTACTGTCCTGCTGCTAAATCTGAACGAATGCTGGCAGGTGAACGATACTCTGCCTTCTGGCAGTGCCCAACCGAAGGGCAGAAGCCCCACAGCTGTTTCTTCTCCCATGAGAAAGCTTCCAAGTCTTCTAGATGGAGATGATGGGCCAGCCCAAGTAGCAACTACCCCTGTAAACATCAATGAAGCTCTCGCAGCGAGGATGCAGGCCAACAGACAGAAAGCATTAGAGCGCGCCAAAGCTCGTCGCGCTACAAATGCCTCGGTTTAGCTCAAGCCTGCTCTTGCAAATGTATCTCTGTAAATCGTGCGGCGCAAATTCAACGGCGCACATGATTTCCATTGTGATGCAGTTGCAATGACTTGTGTAACATAAATTGTAACAATGCTCGAGAATATACATAAAATTGCTTCACCAGCAATAAAATGGTGATCAATGGCGTTTGTGGAGGAAAGCTTGACGGGATTACAGTGTCTGCATCAGCAGGTGCGAAAATGGTTCTGGGTTTGGTACAAATGGAATTTACAAACTGAAATCTATAAGAACTCGTGTTTTAGCATAGCAGTAGTCTCGAGTTTTCATTTCGGATTTTAACTGAGTCCGAATTATCTGTGACTGAGCGGCTTGCCAAAGCTACTCTACTGTCCTGCGGAGTTGTAGATAATAATCAGAATTCGAAAGTCACGAAGGTGCACGAATGTGGAGCTGCACTCCGCACAATAAGTTTCTCCAATTTTAGAAGTGCCCACTACTTAAGTACTCGTTTGTAAGAGCACTTAACTAGTGGGCACACACTCCGGAACCACTGTTCTCGTTTGTAACAGGACAGTGCTTTCTGAATGTGTGAACAGGTGAAAGTACTCGTATGTAAGAGTACAGTGGTGTCTGAATGTGTGAACATGTGAAAAAGACGAGAAAACATCTTTTGACGATCTTGTGTAGGAGAAAGTTAGGCGGATACATCGGTGAAGGGCTCTCAGGACAAGTGGCTGCACGATTTCGTCTCCCGCAACAGGTGGAGCATTGGGCTGCCCACTACCATGAATTTATGAAAAGAGGGGAAAGGATATCAGAGAACTTTGTCAGCAGAATCAACCAAAAGAATCTATCTGCCGAAACGTCCAGCATACGGGAAGGATTAACAGCCTCGGAGGAAAACAAACAGGTACAGACGATGACTTCGATGTACTCAGACCATGAGATACTAACGAAATTCTCAGTATAACATGTGGAGAGCATGTACGGCGTATCGCAGACATGCAGGGATGCCTGTCGCTGACTCACCAGCATTCAGGACCGATCGCCCTTAGTGGCGGTCTCACACGTCATGGGAACGGCGTGCCTTTAAATGAGATTTCGCATACCGAATACTCTGCTCTCGGCGGACATCATGACGTCGGATTTCTCAAAGTGCGGGCAACTCTTCAGCTAAACCTGAAATACCGGAGGCACTGAGTCGCGGATAACAAGGCTATTGAACACACTGGAGAATGTGAGTGAACCGTGGCAGGAATCTCGAATCTGAATTCCAATATGACTGTCTAGTACAGTGCCAGGCTTGAAAAAGATGCCCAAAAGATAGAGATGCATTCTTTACTCTGATATAAATTTTGATCATCCTTTTTGCATCGTAGTAATGGCAGATGCATGGACAGTATAGAAATGACGCCTCTGTTTTTTCTGTTTATTGCAGACACTTGATACAGCTGAAGAGAGCCTTCTCAAAGCACATGTAGATTGCCTTCAGCCAACTTTGAACTATGTACAAATACTTTGAAATTGGCGTCGTGGGAAGTAGAGTTGTTTGTACGCATAAATCGCATGGTGTACACTGTAAACTTGTAGAGGACACCCCATCCTTGGAACAATTCGCATTAGATTATCAGCGAAAACTGTCCCAATAGTTATCTACAGTGTAGGTGCCTATCTGCAGTCGTGCCCGATGATGTTAGAAACTGTAGGAGGAACGTCAATATTGCATGCAGAAGTGCGGTGTCTTTGCAAGGTACTGTTACTCTCATAAAAGTACAACTGCCCACTTTGTGAAGTAGATCTCAGTTACCCCGCACTTGACACGCCACCTTTACAATTATAATATGCCAGTAGCTTCTGGTCTCTGTTGTACGTTGAAGAATTCGTGCTGTCCACAGAAGTTTGCGAGGAAGCCAAGACGGGAAAGATAATAGCTATAATTTTCAATTCGAACTAATTTCTGTGCCAGTCGACAGGTGACTGGGATGCATGTTTCGAAGGTAAACGTGGTTAGGAGACTCCAGGGCCTCTTAGGGAAAGTCTGGGACATCTGCTCGAGGAATGTTTAATTAAGCGGAAGGTCATGCTCGCTCAAGCTGTACAGATGATGAGCAATTTCATCAAGAGACTCGTCCTCAGACAGGTTATCAAGCAATTATCATTGTTTCCAAGGTCAGATCATGCAAAAGGTCTCCGAAAGAATACGCCGGGGTGTGTCCAGAGACCCCATTCCGTTAAGGAGGATGTACTTCTACACAAGCTGAATCTCATTCCTCTGCGAAGAGGGGTAAGAAATTGTGTAGCCACGTCCAATCAGACAATGCCAACACGTTGAGTTCCTTCTGCGAACCTGGTGAGGTCGATTCAATAACAAAACAGGAACCGATTCGGGGTCCTTCAGTGCATAGTTGCCGTACGGTGGGGCTAACGGACACAGGTGACCTTTCGTTCAGTCAGTCGGCAAGCAATTTCATGCTCTCCATCCGATATTTTCTGCTGGATACAAACGAATGAGTGTCAGGAGGTTCGATTGATGGAAACGATAATCAAGGCAAACGCGGGACCACACATTGAATGAATATGCACTTTACCTGGGCAGGAGCACGAACTCATCCCTCGAGCTCAAAGTGCTTGGAGAATACCTTCAGACCCAGAACCTTCAGGACCATCAGAACCCACAGGTTTTATCAGAATGGAGAAAACCTTGGACGGCTCACATGCGCTATAGCAAGAAGCAATATCGTGTGGATGAGTCCGTCACGGTCGCAGGACGCAGGTCTAATGTTACTTAAATGTCATTTCTTCTGAGTTCATGAAGATCTTGATTTTCGATATTTTTCTTTGTAGCTTGTTCCCAGCAGCATCGCGGTGGACTCCAAAATGTTGAGCATTGTCACAGCTTGAGGTGCAAGCTTCGTAATTTCAGGGAACAGGTTTACTTGTAACGTACCTCGCATGATTCCAGCTCAATCTTCATGACCAGAATTTTAAAAGAGGAAGTGACGTTTGTTTCTGGAAAGTGGAAGCACAACTTTTCTTGAGAAATAGCCCAAAGAACACTGTGGCAACACTTATCTAAGAATCTCTCTGCTGCACCGTCCCTCAGATTCCAGAGATCACATAATCCTGTGCCGGAGCTTATCGGAACAGTTCATGTCTAAATGCATGGCGGATTGTTGACAGGGAGCATTTGTCATGAAGGCTTTAATATTTGCGCCACGATGATCGAGGATCCCGCGCAGTTTCCGCGACGACGTCTGTTAGCGCAGGAGGACTCATGCTACTGCAGCATTGACCTGTAGGTGGAGCTCTCCGGCTGAAATCAAAAGCTTCTGAAGGTGGACACAGTAAGCACTGCTGCTCCTGCCCCTCAGGACAATACTGCTTTCACTCTCGTCGTGAACCACATTCAGCGCTTGTGTCGATATCATAATGCATCAGGAGAATATGTGCGTTTGTCAGCGGCGATCGGCCTTACAGTGAGTCGAAATCAATCACTAGTTCGTCGTTGTTCTCTTTACTATTCATGAAATTCTCACATTCATATGCTCTGAGAGGATGATTAGCTTTCTATGTTTATCTTTTGTCTCGGGGAGAGTCTTTCTTGGCTTTTTCTCTATCTTTCGTTTGCTGGTTCTTGCAATAACGTTCGTGTCCATCGTTGTATTATTGACGCAGTTTTTATGTCCAGTTTAAAGAATCACATTCAGATATATAGAGTACATGTGGCATGGTCCTTGTTTAATCCCAATTATTGAGTACATTGTTTTCTCCTTGAACTTTTGCTTTTTCTTATTGCACTCTTACGACTGGATACCTGCCTGGACGAAACGGATGCCCCAGATCTGCATTTAGAGAACTGACTCTAGTTTATTGTAGCCTTTTTTATAACTTAAGATGTTCGCTATCATTGGTTGGCTGATGAAATAAACATTACATGATATATATTTTCCGACAAGTATGCCCTTCTGAAAAATTCTTCCAGTTGCTCCAAGTCGATGTACAAGCTGATGAAGCACCTGTAAAGTGATTAGCGCCAACCATCAACACTACCATCCTTTCTACACGATACTTACTACATATCACTGTATCTACAGCAAGGCATGACATGCATCGAAGTAATCATGGTGTTTTCCAACCTGTTCAGTGGATAGGCCTTAGCTTTTCTGTAGGTCACGTTACTGATATTGTGTGTTCGTAGAGCCTTGCTCTCATCTTTATCGTAGATTGCAAGAAGGGTCCACCAGCTCAATGCTTGTATTAAATTAGATATGTGATAGAAGGTCGTCTTATTAACAAAGATGTACAATCGAACACAATTCAATTGTACCTCTTTGTCAATGATTCAAGAATAGATATTTTGGACGACAAGTTTGAGGGTAAAACCTGTGCGGAGCAGTAAGACTCATGACCAGTCGAGTAGAAAATTGTAAGATCACATCTTTTCCCCTTTCGTTGATTAGTCGTGATTGGTTGCTCATAACAGAAATAATGTTTCTGAATCTAATTTTCTCTTCTATCCACAAAGGAAGTCTCAGAGCCTTCGCACTAAAGGCTTCGCAAGATGCCTTCGCAGGTTCAAGTTCTAGTCACGCCCAAGAAAACTGCACTAGTCTCCAATTCTCTTCGCCATAAGCACAGCATTCAATATTTAGTGATAGGAAGTGGTAGGGAAGAGACAATATTTTTACAAATGCAACAAGTCCTTATGCTTGATGCAGAAGCGGACCAGTTGATGGATCCCAGCTGCAGGTTAAAGGATCTGAACTGCTCCTACGTTTCCAACTCTTGGTCACCAAATCTACAGCGAGAAATCTGTAGTGTACTCTAAGATGTTGCTGGATGCAATATCAAAGGCAAGAGGGTAGGTACTGACTCCATCATGGACTTAAGTTTTCTAGCATCAACTCCTGCTCCTGGAGGTGAAGATGGACCAAGGAAGTCTCATCTTTACCACTCCCAAGTCTTCACCAACTTTGAACGTGAGATGTGGACCTAAAAATTTGAATTAGAAGGGAACCACACAACGTGCTTCTCCTTTTTTCTACTATCTTGGCTGGACTAAGAAAGCTGAACACGTCCCCAAGAACATTTCACTGGAAAGACGACAAGAGAGTTCATTGAAGCTATAACTAAACTGAGCATAGAACGAAGTCCCTTAATGTTAAGTTCTCTATATATATCCTTCGTGGTTCACTAGGTTCTTGGGACGCCATAACACATTAATCAAATTATAATTAGTGTACCATTCCAGAAGTCTACAAGGAGGAATCCTAAACATCAAGCTCCACTAGAACGTGGTTTCGACACGAGAACTGGGTTTCTTGCAAGGAGTCCTTCGGAGCAATCTTACTGCAACTGTGAAAAGGCTCCTCGTCTTTCTCGAACAAAATTATTCAATCTCGTAATTCAAGACAGTCTCGTAAAATCGCGATTTTTTTTTTCTTTTTCTCTTACCGGCTTGCCGAGCTTCTACACTGTGCGTCCTGAATTGCTGGTCATCTCTGCATAGGTTGCCATTGCTGCCAGCCGAAGTGATAACAGAAAAAGCCTTGAATTTCTACGGGACCTTCAGCCATACTGGTGAAGAGTCGCTGCGGTACAATTCTCGTGAATCATGTCGGCATCCAGTTCCAATTGATGATCGGTGATCATGGGGACTGACACCGTTGATTTCAAGTACAGAAGCGGTCTGGCAGGTTGCGGTAAGTGGCACTCCAGCTCTGGAAGAATGTTGCAGAGTTGTGCGTACTTACGGGTACTACGATGTCGTCGTGTAACTGAAATATGTACGATACTGCATAAAACAAGCCTCCCCCTTCACCATCACAACAGGTCCACTGGTGAATCCAGTGCAGCCTGCAATAATGGTACACTAGCTCGAAAATTATTGAATGCACGGAAGAAGGAGAAGCTGTCACAAGAACGGCCCTGACCCCTTTCACTCTCGTCAGGAAAGTCTTCAGCACCTCCATGCAAAAGCTTTGCAGGATTCTCTTTCGATGCACACCAGACTGTACCTGTACTCTTTGCACGATCGAGGTGGCCACATGAAAGACCCAGTTTCCTGCAACTGCTCGAAGCACAAGCTCCTCTGCTAGATCCGGAGGAACTCAGAAGCCCATGCACAGTTTGTGCTTAACAAACGAGTCCAGAGCTGCATGACAGAGAATAGAGAGCCGATTCTCTATCTGGCAATGCTCAGTACTGAGCCCTTTCTCTCAATCTTACAATTCCAGCCACGGCCAATCTCAAGTACTTTGTGTACCCATATTACAACTCGGGGCCCTGTCAGGACCTCGACGGTCTTGTAAGGTGAGGCTCGGTCGTGAAGGACCGTGGTTGCAAAACATTTCTTTTTTCAAGCAAAATGGAGGATGAATATCACATTTTCCAGCTTTCCTTCAACACTAATCTCCACTGAGAGCGCTGAGAGTGCGAAACTCATGTCAGCTCGTGAGCGTAGTACCTCACGAAGGGACATGGACTGTAGCGTAAGCTCATAGGATCATGTGGAGCATCGGTTAGCTCGATGACCTTTCACCTGAAATAACGCAAGCTTGAGCAAACATAGCCACAATAGCCACAGCACGTCACCATGTGAACCCTTCCTCCTGAGTCATGTAGCTCTTGCTCTATCCAGCTACTCGGCTCATGATCATTCACAGCTTTGTGCATCAAGATCTGTGCAACAATGGCCGAGAGAACAGCGAAAGTAATCGTGATGTTTCTCAGCATTGTGGAGGAATTTGACCTCAACGAGCTTGATCTGCTCTGATTAATGGTTTTGGTCGAAGGATCTACCATAGACTCTGTAAATGTGATTGTCTTGCATCTCAGAGAAATAACTGAGCGAGCATGTTGTATGACTCATACGACATACAATATGAGTATTGCAGCGTCTAGAGGCACGAACTCATGAACTCACGAATGGTGAAGTGTTACAGAATTCAGTCGTGTTTGAGCGTGAGTTCGTCAATAAAGTTCATTCCATCACTAAATGCATGTACATGGTTATCGCGAAAATCCACAATCTCCATAAGAGCCGTCATAGAGCTTTGTGAGCCGTCAGAACCTTGGTGCAACCGAGGAAACCAACGGATTAGAGATGCAGGTGGAGCCTAAAACCCCTCAAAAAAGATTCTTCTTCTGCTTTCAATTGTCCATCACCAAAGTCTCAGAGGCGGATTGCCTTCTACAGTAATATGATTGCACTCTGCTCCTTCGATCTCCTTGCCTTCTAGATCTACCACAGGTCATGACGAGTGTCGCACGTGCGTCTGCGTGATTGTAAGTTTGCTCAATGTGAACCCCGTTGCTATCTGCAAGGGTCCCATATACCAATGCCTTTCCTTGAATTCCACGTCCAGTGTCACAAACTAAGATCCTTGAGTACAGTGTGTCACACGAGCCACAAACTTTTGTTTCGCCAACCAAATAAATTAACACAGCTGCTGAAATGGGCTGCTCTGTAAGGGACATTGATCAATTCTATTTTAGTAGGAAACACTAAGCTCGCTATGTTAATCAAGACATTAATTGTAATGAAGCTTCGTGAGCGAGTGTGATCGTTTCCATTTTACGTGAGCGCATTATCTCATTCATGACAATATCAGTGAACTTTAAAAGAGAGTCGGATGTGGTACGTTATGGTTTGAAAGGGAGCATGCTCAACTTCACCACGAAAGAAGAAAGTGAGCTCACTCGTCACTACCTTATTGCCTTCAAAAAATCTAGACAGTTTCAAAGTAATGTATTGCAGCTTGCTCTAGCTGAAGTTGTGGATAGTTAGATATCTATGGCTGTTTAGATTACTGCTTTGTTGTAAACTTTGGCTTCACATCTTAGAATGTGGGTGACACGTCATAAACCAAGAATAAAGTGGTCGTGGTGGAGGAGCACATTCATATGACAAACGTAGCTGTATACATTTCCATATAAAAAAAAATGTTACAAACCAAGTCTCGTGGATGATTGAGCTCTTCCAACTTGAAATTTATTCCTACCCTTGGAAATGTCAGTGATTTTATGTGCTCATCTTCCTATGAGATCCACTCTTGTAAGTTTGTAAGTCAATGAGGAAAATGACGTCGTCGAGTATACAGAAGTTTGCAGTGCATGGAAGGAAGTGTTGCGTGACTGTGACATGACATCTTCGCGTTCTATGGAAACAACGATTTAACATCGAGAATGCCTGAGGTCGAAATCGATTCTCTTCACAACTTTCCAAAAGATGCCGTCGTCGTCGTTCGAAGTCAATTTCTTCATCTCTCGACCAGACAGGGGAGGGGGAGGGGGGAATCTACTGCGACTCTGGGGTCCTACGGCACAGTTGAAGTGCAAGAAGCAGGGGACCTGAGGACCCCTCGGCAGTCATCCGCAACTTGCATTCTGTCATCTCGTCGGCGGAGATTGTGTGGGCAGCTCAACGCGACACGACTCGTCAGCAGAGGCACTAGTGCGCAGGAATTTGGCTGACGATTCGGCCATTCATTCATGCTCCACCCCAGGTCGCTCGCCGATCTCTGCAGCTGAGCTATGGCATTCTTACATTCCTCGGACTGGGCAGGGAGTGTCGGGTGCAATCGTGGATAATTTGTGCAAGCAGGTCCCGGATTTTGTGGATGTGGGAGAGAAGCGGAGAAAAGTGATGAGCGAGAGCGGTGAATGATGAGCGAGAAGGGACGAGGATGACGATCGTGGGATTGTTCCGGAGGTACAAGAGGTGGAATCCCGTGCATCCGACGTTCGGTGCATTCTGGGGAGTCGGGGTCGGATTGGGCTGTGGCGTGGGATGGGGTCCGGGATTTGGCCCTGAAGCTGTGGGATTCGTGGGTGCGGGATGTGGAGTCGGATTCAGCGTGGGCGTCACGTTGATCGGCATCGGAGTGGGCCTTCCGGCGAGCGGCCTGACATGCCTTCCATTCGACGCGTTGATGTGGACGGGCAAAGGAGCCTCGAGCCTCACCTTCAACCACGCCATCCCCGCTCTGGCGTTCGGCGCCAAGCAGAGTTGGCAGGCCATGGCGCTGCAGTCCGCTGCTCTCGAGAAGGGCGTCCAGAGGTTCTGCGAAATCGAAGTTCCCAAGGGTCGAGAGTTCATGCACAGGCTGCAGATGAGGGTTTCCAAAGGCCTGCGAGCCTCGTCCAAGCCTCCGGGCGAACCTGAATTCCGGTCACCCCACGTCCACTTCAACCGAGGAATCAAGAAAATTGAGAATTCTCCGACTGGAACTAGCTCATCGCCTCCGTTCCCGCCTCCGAGGACCGACCGACCACCTGCGACGCTCACGAAGGATTCTGCTGCTGATAGGAGCTGACAATCTGCTCTCGCAACATTTGTACATTGTAGCTCAAATTTCTCAGCAAGGCTAATTCCATGGGGACGTAATTGTGTGTTCACGGAAAATCTGTATGGGTGAAGCTCTTTTCAGGTCGCAAAATGCTTGCTTAAATGGAACATACGAGCGGATTGAAGATTTCTGGCCTAAGCTCTGCAAAAGAAGGCTGGCTGCTCGCTGGTAGAATGACATATTATTGGCGTTCTTCGTCTGTATCCCACCCCTGAGAATTCGCCCAAAGGGTCTACATTCACTTAACTTGTAGGATTCTCATGGAAGAGTTGGCCTCAGATTTACCAGGACGACTGGTCAGGTGGCTGAAAGCCGAGGTAGATATTCATGTACAGAGCATGTTCGTGTGTTGGGATCGAGCAACAAGGTAGATGTTTTTCGTCCCTTGATGTCTCAATCAATCTTGCGGTGAAGACATGTGAATCGATGACAATGCAAGATCGAGTCTTCCATGACACCGATTTCTCAACCGCGGACGATCAGGTATTTTTAACTGTACAATATGCAGGTTGTTGTGACAGGAGCTCATGCATTATCTTGCTTATCTTTTAATGCTTGAGTCCGCGACTCTGAAGTAAAATTGGACGGTCACCCAGCGAAAGCCGCGGTCAGCACACACTTTATTGTCTCAAGCCATGTTTTTGAATGGGAGTGCCCAAGTAAATATGAAAGTGTACATCATCTTCAACTGAAGGGTCTGGAGTTCCAAGGCTGCACTGAGTTCACTTTGGATCAAGTCAAAGGGTGCTCGGATTTCTGAATCTTTCACTTGATCTCCCGCAAGCGAAGCATGCACTTGGCAAAGATAAGAATAGATATAGAAGCATAGGATGTCAAGCATATGAAGCTTTTGCTCTGTGCAATTGTTGTGGTCATGCTCTGCTACACCATCTACTTCCTAAGACAACGGCATGAGAATAACCGCGAGATTTGTCATGAGCATAGTCCTGTCGTTTATGCTGGTGTGGAGAATGTGAAATCAGTGACTTTGGTCTTCGGAGATTAAGGTTCTGATGGATGTAGTCAGGCGTGAATACTCTAAAACGCTGATTGTCTTGCATTTTAGCGGAAATTGCTCTCCAACTGTGTGAGTGATGCAGTGGCTACAAGCAGGAATTTCTTTTATGGCTGAAGGTTGATAGTTGTCAGAGCTGTATGAGCTCTAATTTATTTTTTAAGTCAATATCCATCACTAGGAACTCAACAAGTATGGATGATTGTCACGAAACATCCCAAGAATTTTGATGCGTCAGAAGCTCGGTGCGCTAGAGACGTCAGTGGATTGGTGGTGCATGTGTGCTCTAATATGTTTAGAAAGTGGCTATCCTTCCGCTAACAGTGGACTGTCACCAATTTTTCAGTCCCATCTCACATATTGTAAAAGGATTACACTCTTGAGTCTTGGTTTCCTGTCTCTCTAGATCTTCCTTGTAGGTAGACTAGTCATAAGGATTATTTCATGTTCTTGTACGTCATTGTAAGTTTGTGTCAGCTCCATGCAATCCTTTCCAACTGCAGATTCGAGATGTAGGATATCGCCCGGTATGGACTTGTAGGAGTTTCTCCATCTCAGTTGCTTATGATTTGTTTGTACATATGATTCCACTGCTCTGGCCCTCAGCATATATGAATAGTCCAGTTGCTGACTTCAAAAGTTCTAGAAGCATGCGGATATACATCTTAAAACATGTATGCGCATATATGTGTTAGGTTCAGGTCGTGCTTGAGATCAGTGTCCATACTCCTGTGCGAATGCACAAAATTTCTTGGAATGCGCACTGTAGAAATTACTACTTTATCGACTGAAATTTAGTCAGTCCAGTACCTTAGGATTCGGACTCGAGGTTTAGCAGAGCTGTGACAGTTGTCAAGAGAATGGAAGGTAATAAGCTGAGTACTTGCTTCAGTGTCGTCCCAATCAAATGTTTCAGCAATTAATGCAATAGCCTCCCCAAGGATGACAGTCAGTTACGGCTGAAGTCCAGCCTCGAGTTAAAACTCCTGTACTTATTGATGTAAGATTGGGTAGCGATGTAAGTTCGCCTGCCCTTCAAGATGTGAACGGTTCAGAAGTTCCAAAGAAGAGTCCTTCACACGATACCAAATTTTCGAACTTATTTTTTTCCAAAGCATTGCCAAATAGCCTCAAGAACATGATACTGTGAAGAGTTTCTGGACAGTTTTTGAAGCAGTACGTACAGCATAACTGTAGATCCCTCCTATAATATACAAAATTTGCAGGATCCACAGAGTTCTGCCCGGACTAAGTGTGCTGTGGTTCCGGTATAGATGATGATATCAATTGGACCAAACAAATCAATCAGTGAACATGGCTTTAACTATCGTCTAGTCGGAAGTATATGGTTCAGTGGAATTTACCCACCGACAAACAACAGCTAGCGTTGAAGAAACTCCGGAGAAGTCGAAGAAGGCGACTATAGTAGCGGCAAGGGCTTTCTCTGAAGCACCATCGAGCCTGTTATGCAAGAAGTTGCGTTGAAGCCATGAGGGAGTTCAGGCAAGTTTTGCCTGAAGTCTGTTTGTTGTACTACTTTGTCACACTCCTATTTCATGCAATTCATATTTTGGTACCAGTGGAAGTAAATCTCACGAGAAATTGAGTGGCAGTCACAAAGAGAATATCTTCCTTGTCCAGTTTGTTATTGCACAGCCTCAAGAGGGAGGGCTTTTGGAACCTCTCTGAGCCTTGAAACATGTGAATGGTCCTGTAAATAACTGCAAGAGTTTAATAACGGAAGGATGTGGATGCAACGTAAGACCTCCCTGGACCCACACTGTCTTGTAAATTTCTATCTTCAAACAAACTGGAGTACATGCCGGACTTTGCCCTCTGTCACGTCCGGGAAGGTTTTAGAGGTTCAAAGATTTGAAGTAGTTACCTGGATGGTCACAGATTCCGGGTAGAAATGCACGCTTCGACCTTAGGCCTTGTCAGGTTGAACGAGAAGACAGCCGAATGCACGTTTCTTTCCGAGAGACTTGAAATGCATGCTCAAGTCTGAGTGTACTCATTATAATTTCCTGGATGCTCCCCGGCGTCAGAGTTTTGTACTCTTCTGTGATTACATTGACATTGCTAAGAGATTGTTGTGTAAGCATAGGTGTCTACCCTTGAGCAGCACAATTGTGTCGACAGTGAAAGTAAAGTCTGAAGAGTACTGTAACCTTTACTTCTTAATCAGAACTCACAGTTCAGTGTGCCTCTTGGTACGCGGACAGTGGAGGAGTTCAGCTCAAGGAGATAGATTGCAGGTTTTTATCCATGGAATTAGAAGACCTCTTTCTGATGGAGTTTTTCCATGATCTTTCGTGGTTCTTAGCCTCTTGGCACCTAAAAAGGTCACGAACGCGAGAGCATGTTTACATAGCTCTGCAACTTGCAAGGTGTGCATAGTGATACTAAGCAGACGGAGGCCACGAGCTTCAGTATTAAACTCAACATTCATTCCAACTATAATACTCACAAAATCTTCTTTCTCTGCTTTAAAATGTGGATAGTACCAGTAGAGTAGCTCAACGCAAGTCCAAACCCAAAGATTTGCGCTCCTTGTCCAAGTACTAGTCCATCTTCTAGATGTCCATATCAATCCTCCAGCAGTGTAATGAAATAGCCTTCCAGCAGTAAACTAGAACTGCATCTGAACTCCTGCATGAGCTCATAATTAAGCATAAACGGCTGGTTTTGATTTTTAATTCGTCCCCTTCAAATGTGGATGGTACTGTCATGCAATGGAAACTATGTGACTCGCAGGTTGTCCTACCTGAACGGGCCAAACTATTCCTCCATGACCTGTGATGGAATCTGAGCATCGTTTGTGGTGGTTGAAGAAGGTACAAGCAGTTTAGTCTTGGCATATTTGAATATTCGAGAAAGTCAATACAGCAGAACAACCTTTTAATCAGAACAAATGGAGTCGTTTGGTCCAAGTTTGACTGGACAAGGAGTTCGGCATTTCACCAAAGTATTTGTTGAAGGGTAGTCATGCAGGAAGGATTTAGAATATATTCCAATAGAATATATTCAAACTCCTCAAAGGTACTGGCCACGCTGAAAGCATTTGCTCCATGGGCTGATATTCAGTGTATGTAAGTTGAAGCAATACTCAAGTCTCATTTCTTAGTCGCGGACATGGGAATTTAAGGGGATAATGGGATAATTACTCTATGAACTGCCACCTCTAGTGCATGTGTGCTTCCATTCAAACATTTTATTTCTTGTTTTATAAAGGATCGCATCATTGCTATTCATCGTAAACCCACGCTCTCCCCTCGGCACCCGAACCTCACCGAACGTGGAACATCACATCTTCAAACCCACAACAACATCTTCCCTCTGACAATTCATCAGGGAAAGGTTGCCAACTAAATATAGGGGATGGAAAACCTAGCTATGTGACCATAATCACAACATCTGCAAGATTAACCTACTACTTTCAAGAGAAGTATTTTTGCAACGCAAATTGATTACAATGGATAGCAATGTTCCTTCTGCAGAGTTAAACCTCCCAATAGGAACACACATTGATGCTAGAGTTTTACGTTATTATTGGGAGTTTTCACTCATAAGAGGAGAGTGAGTATAACGTCCCAATAGTAACATACATTGCTAATAGTAACAGTTTGTGTTGGATGTCACTATCGGGAGGTGCTTAACCTTGAGTATAAACTCCCAATAGTAACATACATTGCTGATAGGGTTGGATGTCACTATTGGAAGGTGTCACTCGTACAAAGAAAGTGCATAGATATCTTATCTTACATTATATGCGTCCAAGTACATTCTATAATTGTGTTGTTTGGTTTCAAGTACATTCTATAATTGTGTTGTTTGGTTTCAAGATCGCCTTCATTTGTAATATTGTATTGTTCACGACGACAATGTAGGTGCTATAATCGTATTTAAATTTGGATTATTACACAAAAAATTGAGTGAAACAATTGTTGATAATATATGTAGCGAAGTATTTTACTCAAGCCCAAAAAGATTGAATGGTTGAGGTAGACCTCAAAATAAACGTATGCCACATTCTTCTTTCTCGCCGCTATATATTGTGATCATAACAGGAATTTTAACTCCGAAATTACACTTGACACTGTCACTAGTGGATAATATCATGACACTATTCGCAATAGTGTCATATTGTTCTTATTGGATAGATTTACAAGTAACAAACCAATGGTTTTGGAATTCTATGTCACTAATGAGTGGATGTAACTTATAAGAGGTTTAACTCTGGACATAAAATATCCATACCTTCACTTTGTTTTGTGTCATAGCAAACACTAAAAATATAGTGACTTGATGGATAGTGATCATCCACTATATTTAATTCTGAATGGTGAACAAGTCCCATAAACCTATTGCATCCAATGTAGTACGGCATTCACTTATCAGCAATGAAGTTGTTCATATTACTAATGAAATCATTGATAGTTAGCATTTCATTTCAAATGGTTAAAAAGTTATACAAGTCTAGTGCATCTAAGATAGTGTCATATTCACATATGGGTAGTGAAGATTTACATCGGTGGATCAAAACAAGTAGTGCAAGTCGGAAAGAGCTAGTGCAAGTGGGAAAACCATGATGCATTGCAGAGGCAATTCCATAAAACAAAAACTTTGTTTACAACGATTGTCATGATTCGCCAAGAAAATACACGTGGTTTTATGAAAGGGAAAACAAGTTGAATTCATGTCATAAATTTGGAGGTGAAACATCTCATATATATATTTTGTTATATTACTCTTAAGAACATCTTTTATTCATCATAGAAACGTTGTATGTGATTAGCATGTCTAAAACCAACATGATCATCAGCCAAAACTTCCAAGCAAATTCCTCATTCATTACCGATCGATTTTTTTTCTTTTTTTTTATTCATCAATTTCACACATTATCCATAACATAATCCTGCATGAATCATACATACTCCAATATCTGGTAATTAAAAAACAATGCTGGTGTTTGTAAAAGATAGTGTAATTCATCTTAGGTTAAAGTGTAACAAGAAGTTTTTTATAATCTTGTTATATCTTTGACTCCTTTACTTCTACTTTATTATAAATGAAAAATTAAATCATAGGCAAAATAGAATGAAAGATAATATAAATCACATTTCTTATTTTGAACACATTCAAACCTTCGTGTTCATTGATATTGATTGATCATAATTTTTTGGTTTATTGTGAAATTTTATATACAAATATTGTTTATCATATTTCAAGATGGAAAAAATTTGAAATATTCTCTCAAAAATATCAAAGTAGAATGAATAGAAACATGACTTACATGCATACATATATTCAAAATTTGATAGAATGTTTTTCACAAATTTGAAGAAAT